AACAACAACAACAAAAAAACACTTGACCACTCTGAGCCTTGGGTCACTTGAAATTAAAGTTACTGTCCCAAGTACACACTCCAGGGTCACTGTGTCAGTTAATCAAATAAAAGCTGGTGACTATTACTTTGGCTGGTGTCTTTCTTTTTTCCTTTGGGGGGATAAAAACCTAGCAAATACAAATTTTACATAGAGAGAAGCAACCCGAAATAGCCCATATGTAATTAAGCTTCCTCTCCTGGGAAGATGCTGAGGTTAGAGGTGGGGAGATGCTGCTGTCATTTCCTTCTCTGCAGCCGCTGCCGACACCAGCAGGTCCCTCAGCGCCTTCACAGCCCCAGAAGGACACACTGGAGGGCTTACCTGCGACTGAACGAGGCATTCGACCAGCTGACCAGTGGCTTCCCACAGCAGCAGAAGGCTGTCTGGATTACTTTACCTTAAAATAATCAACATCTAAACCGGAGAGCTAGTACAGAGGTATGGCACCTGTTTGGAACGCTGCAGCCGCAGTTCAATCCCCAGAATCCCATATAGCCCCGAGCCCACCAGGAGTGAGCCCTCATTGCAGAGCCTGGAGGCAGCCCCGAGTCTGCCAAGTGTAGCCCCCAAATCAAGAAAGAAATAGCCATGAGCAGCGGAGGTGGGAGAGATTTTTGTATAACAGGGGAAGCAGCCTCTCTCCCCAGGCGTGCGGGGAAGAGCCCGCCCTGCGCCCGGTCCCTCCCGTTGTCCTCAGGACTCCTGCAGTCTGGGTGGGGGCTGTAGGGTGGGCCCTGAAGCAGTGTTCCTGGGCTACCTGCCCACGGGTGACTCTGCCTGGTCCCACAGCTCTGGGAGAAGGGAGAGCACCCGGCGTCCCAGCCCCCACAAGTTTCTGTGGCCACACTCCCTAGGTGAGGTCATTCCAACAGGGCCGGCCTCAGGACCGCCATTCCCCAAATTGGAATATGTGCCTGGCATTGCTCTAGGGGTAGCGTGAGTGTCCTCCAGGGGCTTTTGATGCTGTCACAACGTGAAGGTTCTGTGGGCACTCTTCTGGGACATCCTGTCAGAGCTTGCGGCTAGGGCGTGACTCATGCTGAGGCCGTGTCCATCCAGGACTTCCTTGCCGAAGAACACACAAACTCCTCTGTGGGGGGCTTACAAGTATTCCTAACCCCCAAATGCTGGACACTGGGCAGGCCTGTTAGGCAGAGGATTGCTCACAGCCCAAACGCCCCCCAGACAAGATTTGTGCCAGGAATCTCCGCCTTGGAGTCTTCCTTCATGCCAAATGCCAGAGTGCCCCGCTGCCTTCCCATGGCCAGTGCTGGGCTGGGACCTTAGCTAATTGAACACGCAACACACCAGCCGCAGGCAGGGATCTAAGCGGAGGTCCGATTCATTCTCTGATGGAATTGCAGATGAGAGCAACACCTAATGTTGGAGAAGACACAGCCCTGCAGAGGAATCCGGTCCCAGGTGAGCAAGGTCAATTCCCGGCGTGTTATCCTCCAGGTCCAAGCTGGGCGAAAGCCCCAGTTAGAGCATACCTTTTAAAAGCTGTTGCCGGCTTGTGCCAGTGCTGCAGGCTGCCAGACGGGAAGGGCCCTGGGCGCATTTGACTTGCATATCCCTGGCGATCAGTGGTGATGTAGCACTTTTTTTTTAATGTGGAAGAAAAGCATTTTAAACCACGTTGTGGAGATAGGATAAGCTGGAATTGTGCAGACGCGAAAGTTCTGGGCAGAAGGACGCTGTCCCACACCTAAGCAACATACCTGAGCGGTGAAAACGTGCGGTGTGGGAGCCCCCTGGTGGACATTAGTAGGGACCGACGAAACCACACAGGTGCTGTCTGAGCAGGTTCCCCCTTAGGAGTTTGGAACTGAGCCCACCCCTGCAAGCTGCAGGCGAGCGATGATCTGTGGATCATCTGAAGGCATGAGATGCTGGGTCTGTGCTGAGCACCTGAGGCTGATCAGCAGGGCCCCAGGTTTCAGCTGATCTCGACTCTGATCTCGCGCTCCCGTGCCAACTGAGATGGGCATAGTTGTCTCACTGGGTGTAACTGACTGGGCTACACACGAAAGAGGAGGGCAGACCCAGGGGTTCTGGGAGTCTGGGGTGAGACTGCTAGCAGCACTTAACAAGCCGGTTTAGGAAGCAATTGTAAGGGACACACACGTATAGATGGGGAGATTTGGGGTGAGCATGGGGCAGCTACAGCCATGTTTTGGTGAGAGATGCAGCAAAAAGGAGAGAAAAAGAACTGGGAAGCAAGAGTCTGGGAGAGACGGGACAGCCTTCGCAACACGCGACTGAGCAAAGCCCCTGGCGCTGTGGCTTGGGACCGCCTTGCACCATGCCCAACTCTGGCCAGCTAACTGGCAGCTCTCTCCCTCTCCGGCAGGGCAGCGGGCTGTGTGCTGGTGGGCGCGTCTGTTCCGGGATATTTTCATCCTGTCTCTCATTGGCAGTGCCATGGCTCATGTGGGGGCTCCAGTCTACCCTCTGCCCACGTCCACGATGCTCCTTAGTGTGACTCACTCCATGCTGCTGCCTTTGGCCCCCTGCGGCCCTGGATTCTGTCCCTGCCTGACAGGCAGCCATGGTGGTTCTGCAGCCCCAGGCTCCTGACCCAAGGCCTCGTCCTCTCGCACCTCCCCAGCTGGCTGCTGTCCAGCCCTGCTCCCCCTCCCTGCGGAAGGTGCCGGTTTCCTCCGAGAGTTGCTGGCACCTGGCTACAGACACGGACTCTGCTAGCCTTCTATTTTCTTCCTCCTTAGCCGAGTCTCAGGAAGGTGAATCAGGGAATTATATGATTATTCACTTTCTCCTACTCCACCAGCGCAGAGTAACAATACGACTCCATGGGCGTTGGGGGACAATTTCTACACTGTACTGACCCAGAAATGAGGCGCACATTGCCTCTTTCCTACCACTCACTGTTCATTCGCCAGGTCAGCCCAGGAGTGTTCAGGGCACCCATGAGGCCAGGATGGAGCCAGGGTTAGCTGCCTGCAAGGCACCCTCCCGAGGATTACCCAGCCCTCGCTTAGTTCTTGTAAAGATCATTTCTTAGATTGGTAAAAGTAATGAAATGACTCCAGTGCCATCAGCTGCCCATGGCATATGGAGAACCCCCCACCCCAATAGTTTCCTGTGCTTCTAATTGGCGACCATTTTTTTATTATAAAAACTTAATATAGTTCTACTGCCTTATTGTTTATTGCTGCTTGAAAATAAGCCCAGGGTGAGTGCTCTGCCACAGAGGCAGGGTGGTGTCGGGGGATGAGGGGTGGGAGGGATACTGGGATTTAGTGGTGGTGGAGAAGGGGCACTGGTGGAGGGATGGGTACTCGATCATTGTATAGCTGAAACCCAAGCACAAAAATCTGTAAGTCTACAAACTGTACCTTATGGTGTTTCACTAATACAAATTAAAAAAAAAAAAAAAGAAAAGAAGCCCAGGGGTTTTTTTTCCTAAGGAAAACAAGTAACTTCTAAAGTGTGAAGAGATAAGAAAACAGTTTGCTGGGCCTGAGCCCCATTCTTTTAAGCCTGCGGTTTTGAGTCTCATGCTGTAAGAGCTGTAGGATGAGCACTGGCCCCCTGAACCCCTCAATCCTGGAACTTGTCATGTTACTTGGCATGGCAAGAAAAGTCTGTGCTGTGCCAGCAGACTCGGGAGTGGACACTGGCCTGGCCTCTTGGAGAAGTGTCGGTGGGGGAGGTGGAGGCAGATGGCAGGCTCCGGAGGTAGACCGTGTGCAGCTCCACAGCAGGCTCCTGCGAGGGGCAGTGGCCAAGGCGCCCCAGCTCGCCTCTAGCCCTGATGCCCCAGGCCCCCTCACTGAGCTTGGGGCAACAACAGAAACTGCTACAAACCTTTTGATGAGTTTTTATTGCGAAATATTGAATGTAGAAAAAAAGTACAAAATGCCAACAGTCAGATGTGTACACATACAGTATTTCGACAGTCTACAGGCAAACAGGCTCACTGCATAATGCATCTTTAGACCAGAACAACTGAGGACGGACTGCGATATTCACAGGCTATTCATACATAAGTTTCTGGAGCCCGAATAACACCTCCCCATCAGCAAATGCCGACAGCGGGAGACGGCTGACAAGCACAGGACTACAGACCAAGCACCTCCTCACAGGGCCATGTGAGAGGACACCAGCTCCGTTAGCCAGGACATTAGACGCAGGACAGGGACTCAAGGACAATTCCACAGCTGTGGAGACTCACGCTCTAAGAGGAGGTTGTGGAGCACTACAGACTGCCGTCCCCTGGGGGAAGCCACCAGGCGAGCCTGGAGGGGAAGGGCCTCCCTCCGGCACACTCGAGGGCACTTCAGCAGCTCTGGGCCGTAGGCAGGGCCATGACACACTTCACAGCAACACCACAACGACCGCTGTGGAGTGGAGTCAGAACATAAGATGGTATAGGACATGACAACCACTTAGGGGTTCAGCGACATCTGCAAATACCAATACCTGCTGGGCGGCAGCAATGTCCAAACTGGGGAAGAGCACTGTGACAGGAGCTCAAGCGCGCACTGGTTCAGATTCCCCCAGGAGGGCAGATTCGATATTCTGCTCTGCTTGGAAATACCCAAGATCACACAGTCTCAATCTGGATGAAGAACTGTCGCCCTTACAAACAGTTGTGACAGGAAGGAGCTGCTGGGTCCCGTGCCCTGGAGTGACTGCCACAGCCGCCCGGCTTCTCAGGGCCTCCTTCAAAGCAGCTCAACATGGGCAGCTGGCAGCCGATCCTCACCCATGAACCCCGAAGGGAAGGAACTCTTCACACTTGGGACAGCCAATGACGTGGCCAACCGCTCTGCATACTGGCACCCGCCAAGTGAGAGGTGAGTCACACCGCCCTCTGAGAAGCGCTGGCTTGGATGGGCGATGCCTGCACGAACCCTTCCCCACCCGACCAGGACCCTTAGAGATAGCTATAAAGACCATGATGAAATTTTCTTATAAAACATTTAAGCATCTGAATATAACAGTAGATTTTAATTTATTCAAAGCTCAGATTAAAACTTTTTTTTTCAGATTCGCTTTAAACTTACAAATTAAGTACAGGATATATAAATATTAACTTAGATAATCACATATTCGAAAGTAGATAAATGGACCACTGCAGAAAAAAATTACAAAATTTTTAAAAATTTTATAAAAGAAAAAGAAGCAAACTTGATTCATAAAATATGACCATGAAGCCGTAGGGCGTAAAAATAAAAATCAGAAGTTTTAAAAATGAAATCTCGGGTGAATTACTGTGACATAATTCAGTGATTTCTATGGCCAACAGCTTCCCGTATCACAGGCTGACCCCGGGACCACCTAAAGTCTATTTCCATGATCAATTCTGAATGCAACTTTAAACATTTTTCTAGTCACTCTGATTTCCTTTTGAAATAGGCTCCTGTACATATGCATTTATATACAAACATTTATTAAACATGACTTTAAAACAAACTATGTACAAAAGATTAGCATTCCTATAAATAAAAACATTAGGTGGCAAAGAGGCACTTGTAAGTAAAAATCTACAGCAGTTTGTACAAAACAGACACATCTTACCTCAGATACTGTACAATAAACATTAATTCCTATACCAATAATGAAAATACTACTTTGCTAACTAATGTCAATGATGTAGGCTTAAAAACATATTTACATAGTATAGTCTAAAGTTCATTTAATAAAAGCACCATGATTCTTTCTTAATTCATGTTAATGCAAAGTAAAAACACAATTACCAAAAAGTGTTCACCATTTTCCTTATTTAAAAGTCTTGTACTTCTAAATTCAAAACTGCTCATCTGAAATTAGCATAATGAAACCAAAGATAAAGTCCACCCCCTGTTCTCTGCCTTCTGGGCCCATACTTCCCTTATTGCATGTCGCACTGGCAGAGAGCACTGTCCTTTACAACTGCTAATACTATTGCTGGCAAAATAGTTCCTGGGTATCAAATAATTAAAAAGTTACTTCAAACCAGCTGAAGTTTTATTTGAATGTTTTACAACTTAAAAAATGCTGTATATTAGTTACAAAAGTGAACAGGAAACACACCAATTCATTTGGTGTGTAAAAATATTTTTCCACTAGGCAGAATTTAGGGACTTCATGAGTCTTTTCAAATTGACATTTTCAGCAGAAACACTAAATCAATCGCTATTCTCTCAAGGGGATGTTAGAATGCTTCCACTTTTGTCAAACTTTTTACCCTTTGACAATGCTGCAACCTGTTTGAGAAGTTCTCTGTTTTTGGCCTGTGGGAGATAAAAACATTGAAGATTAAAATAGAAGCACTTTGACATTTATGCTGTAGAATGATGTTTTAAATGTTACTCTTTCCACACAAATAAGATTTCTCAAAGTAAATGAACGTTTACATGTTTAGGTTTGTCTCTTTGTTGTTGATTTTGGATCAGACCTGATGATGCTCAGGGCCGGACTCTTGTCTCAGGGATCCCTCCTGGGGTACTAGGGGGACCATATAGAGTGCTGGTGATTAAATCTGGGCAACCTTTGCCACATGCAAGGCAAGTGGCCACCCGCTGCTCTCTCTCTCCAAACAAGATTCATTTCTTTAATGGGGGATATGGAGAAGGAAAATTATAAGTTGGTTTATTAGTATCATTTGTCCTTAAAGACCTGAGTAACTCAATGTAGAAGAGTCCGAATTTTAAAGAGAGAATAAAGAAGTGTTGGATAGATCTTTATCTTAAAAGTATGAAAACTCTGACAATGTTTCATTTTATAATAAGACAAAGTGACTTTAGTGATATTTGGGAAGAATATTTACCAACCAAGCTTTTCATTTGAGACTTTAATTTGAGATTTATGAGAATTAGCTTAGCTTTCTCACACTGCAGAGGGACGTGGCGGTATTGGACAGGCCTGCCCAGAGGCAGCGGCCTGGTCTCCCGCTGCTGGCCTTGGGCTGATTTCAGCAGCCACAGCTAATCACTGCCGGAGAGCTGGACATTTCAGTAAAGACTAAGCTCACTCCTAGGGAGCAGATCGTCACTGTCAATTACCAAAGGGACCTGCACTTCCCTCAAACAGAATCCGTGATTAAGCCAGTCCCTCAGCCCCTCGGGGTTGTTTTTGCTTTTTCCTGAGGAACACACCCAGCGATACTCAGGCTTGCTTCTGGCTCTGCACTCAGGGCGCCTTCCTAAGGGCTTGGGGGCCAAATGGAATGCGGGGGACAAACCCACCTGGCAAGCACCTAAAAGCCCTCCCCCGGCCTATTGCTCTGGCCCTGCCCACTCAGCGAATGGTTTCTGACCATTGTACCTCGGTACCCGTCAAACACCCCAAGAGCCTCCACAGACCCAGACACACTCGTAAAACTGGAGTTTGGGATCCTAACTGGGAAGTGCTGCCACAGTTAGGAATCTAGGCTCTGCTCTGAAAGTAAAAAATCTAAAAGATCCTTTGGGCCTTGTGCTTGGAAACCATTTCCTTCATCGGAACCAAGATTCCCGCGTATTCTGGTGGGTGCTCCTGGCTGTGACCTGTTTGCATCTACCATGGACTCTGGCTGTCTCATGCAGAAGGTGCCCTGGGGCCTTCCCACCAGGCACACTCCTCCAGCTAATTGTGATTTGCCTGCAGAATTAGGAGGACTTCTCATTTCAACAGTTAAGGTAGCAACTAAGAGTTTCTATTTCAAATCCAATTTCAAGTCTAAAGAACCAAAACTTAAAAGAGATTCTTATTTTCCTTTAAGGTCTTGCACAGTGTGAAAAACTCAAAGGATGAATCAAATGCAAACAGCAGCAGTGAGTGAAGGTGAGCCCACTCGCTCGGCTGGCCAGTCCTAGTTCTACAGTTTCCAGACACTGCCTATACAAAAATAAATCTACAGCTGCCACAGCTTGCTGGCTAATCACGGGATTGGACCAGATGCCTTAGATCAAATCAGTCTCAGGCACAGGAAGATGGCACGGACATCCAGAACTTCCCCAGAGCTCTGCCAGATCGATTAGTCATATTTACATTGTTACATACCAACCAATTAAAAACTTGATCTTGGGCTGAAGAGAAAGTGCATGGGTTGAGGCACCTGCCTTGCCCACGGCTGCCCGGGGGTCAATCTCCAGCACCATATATTGATTCTAAGTGCCGGCAGGAGTGATCTCTGAGCACAGAACTGGGAGTAATTCCTGAGCACTGAGTCAGGAGTAAGACCCTGAGCACTGTTGCTGTGGCCCCACAGAAAATAAAACCTTCATCTACAAGTTATTAAAAGTCACTTGTCAAATCACCCCTTTCCAATCCCCAGTAAAGCTAGTGAGCATACAATGCTGGTTAGGATCCTGGCTGGCACGGCAATGACCCACAGCACAGCTGACGCTGATCCCTGACAGCAGTGTTCTCACACCAAACCCCCTCCCCACTCCAATGCCCTCTCCCCACTGGCTCTGGAGGCCTCTCACTACCTGAGGTTCAAGAACTGAGAGGCGAGATGCCAAGAGCAACTTTTACCTTTACATTTCTGCATTTATACTTTCAGGCCGCTAGTCACTAACTTCTTTGCAGCTGAAGGGAGAGCTGTCCAACTCTGCCTTCCTCTGAACGTGGTCCACCAACATCACTTAAGATATCTAGGCAATGACCAGTTTCTGAGGTGCAGGGTTCGCCTACATTGCCGGCCAAGTGGACGTGGTCCATCAACATCACTTTAAGCTATCTAGGCAAGGAAGGGTTCTGAAGCATGAGGTCCACCTGGGCTGGTGGCTCCAAGGATGCTGCTTGGCCCAGTGGTGCACCCGGTGGGGCTGGGGGTCTCCAGGGCTAACCTGGCAGTGCTCAGGCACTTCAAGGGCTGCATCTGGAGATGCCTGGGTGAACACAGAGCGCTGGGATTGGAACTGAGGTCAGCCCAGTGCCTGACCTCTGTACTACCTCCTGTCCTCAAACACACATGGACTTAAAGTACTTCTCTCTGTGATTCTTATCAATTCCGCTATTTAGGAACATTTGGAATAACGCCCCTGAAAAAAGGCCACCCAGACGGGCACTGCCAGTGGGCCTGCAGGAGGCCTCGGCTCTGCACTCAATGCCTCTGTCCTGTGGGGCGCCAGCTCCAGTGACCCCAGGAGCATGAATCATTCCGTCCCGGGGTGTGCCAGCCTCAGTGCCCCCAGAAGCACCAGCACCCTGGCAGACTGGCATTGAGCGGGCACTCCAATAGCAGTTCTCTTTATTTTTCATCAGTGCAGCTCCTAAGAGTTCAATTTGGTATTTTATATAGTTTTTAGTTTTTGGATTTTTTTTTTTTGCTTTTTGGGTTACACCCAGCGATGCACAGGGGTTACTCCTGGCTCTGCACTCAGGAATTACTCCTGGCGGTGTTCAGGGGACCATATGGGATGCTGGGGATCGAACCTGGGTCGGCCGTGTGCAAGGCAAATGCCCTACCTGCTGTGCTATCGCTCCAGCCCCAGTTTTTGGATTTTTTAAATATTGTGTTTATTTCCCACATGAGATGGGTAACCGTGTTCTGGAAGGTCTCAGGGTTCAAGTCCTTACCACAGCAATGGACAACCAAGTTCAAGAGTGCCTGCTGACCCCAGAAGCACAGGCTTGGGCTCTGCCAGAGAGGAGGGCACCTGCAGCTGCCTACATGTAGCAGCCGGGTGACGAGACCAGGGTCAGGGGCGTGTTGCTTCTGGCTCAGGATGTGAGCACAGTTCACCTGGAAAGTGTGGCCACTGTGGCATGCCCAGTCACAGGGAGCAGATCAGCCTCTGTGAGAGTAAGAGGACATGGCCAGCTTCAACAGAAAGGTGAGTCACGGCTGAATTAGGGACAACTTTAGTTACTCCAACAGATCCAGATGAAAGCAATCAGTCAGGCTGAAGTGTCAGGAAATGTTTCCCTGTTCTCAGAGCTACAACAAGCAGCAGTCTCTCTGAATGTTCCCGCAGTGCCAACTCGAGGGCTCCTTCACATGTAGGTGCTGCTCAGTTCTATTTTTAATGCTGGACATACGCTGAGCTGTGGGTATGTCACACGGAATGAGAGATGACACAGGGGTGAAGCACAGGCCCTCAGTCCCTGGAGGCCCCTGCACATTGCCAGAATGTCCCAGGTAATCCTGGACCTCAGGGTCCTCAAGGCCAGCGAGCTACAGCTGATCTGATGAACACCTGCCAGGAAGGCCCCATTCTCCTGAACACCACCAAGGAGGAACCCCCCCCCCAAAAAAAAATCAACCCAAACAAATGAAGATTTTGTTTTGAGGTTATCATTCAGCATTAATAGCTGAAAGAGAAAAGTAAGATGATGAAACTAATCCTTGCTGCTGGGTGAAGCCAAGCACCAAAAGTCCTGCCTGTGTCACAGTACTCAGGACAGGCAGAATCAGACTGGCACACACCGTCTACACAGTGTCTGGGTACCACATCCTACACAACTCCTCTCCAAATCTACGAAGCAGGACGGTCTGAATTCCACAGGCCCCTAACTCCATTCTGCATCTGAGTCTTCACTGCTTGTACAAAGAACAGGACACTGGGAGGCAGGGAGAAAGAACACCCCTCTTCACACCCAGACAGGAAGAGCGCATACCTCTCCTCACACAAAGAGGAAGAGAGCACACCTCTCCTCACACAGAGACAGGGAGAGCGCATACCTCCATGGCAGTGCTGTCTTGTGCCCAGTACCTCAGTGCTCCCCACGCTGCCTTGTGTGTGTGTGGGGGGGTCTCTAGGTACATCGAAAGTCTCCTGAGGCTACTGCTGGGCAGAAGACCCCTTTGCCATCTTTGAGGTCAGAGGCACTTTCGCTGCAGGCAGCCTCAGTGGTCCTCAGCTGAGATCCCAGAAGTGGCTCTGAACATTTACTCAGCTGTACCTTTCCACTTCTCACTTGGGGAAAACAACAAGAATAGTGTGGAACGCACTAAACAACCTGCTTTTTTACACCTTAATTATGGCACTAATCTTTGATTTCTGTTTCTAGCCACAATGACCAACCGAGCCTGTGGCAATGATACCTCTCCTGGAAAGCCGCCCGATGTTGGGCAAGAATATAATGAACCCCCTTCCGAGTGACTTTAGGATCAGGATTAAATACTATGTAGTCAGAACCTCTGCCTCTGTAGTGGGCTGACGGGCGCCCTGTCTTCTCACCTGAAGCTGCTCCACAGTTTCTTTGTGAGCCTTTTCCATACTGTTCATCTTGGTTCTTAAGTTCGACTCCTGGTACTGAAAGTCTGCCTTTAGCTCTGTTAGCTAAGAGATGGAAACAGAAGACATATGTGTACACGGATGTCTATTACAGAACACACATATGCACGTACACACACAAGCATGCCAGTTTAAATGTTCCTCTTAACAAACTCAGTATACAAAGGGGCAGATGTTAGGAACAGTTGTCTAAGTGTTGCAACATCTAATCTCTGTCAACTGGTGTAGTCAACTTTATTATTATTTATTATAGTATAATTTTAATGTAAACTAATCATCACTAGAACATTTTAGATGTTGCCTTTCTTCTTTCTTTTTAAGAGTAACTTCATGGGACAGAGTGTGGTAACTAATACGCAGACAGGAAACATAAGCCTAATTCCTTGGAAAATGCTCCCCATTAAATATACAAATGTTATATGTAAATACTGAGACCAGAGCCACTTTCACTTTCACTGGTCCTCAGCTGAGACTCCCAGAAGTGGCTCTGAACACTTACTCATCTGTACCTCTCATATACATAATGCTACATGTATAAACAGTGTTACAGTAAATACTGTTACATGTAAACATTAAAGCAAGAGTATGTCAGCAGCAAACATTAAAACTAATTTCTGGGGCGGGACCAACAGGAACCATTTGATGCTCAGCACACCGTACAGTACCCCGGGGCACTGCCAGGGTGATCCCTGAGCACAGAGCCAGGAAAAAGCCCTGAGCAACTCCAGGTGTGGTCTAAAAACCAAACAAATGAATGAAGAAATCAAACCAGTCCCAAGTTAATCATTCTGTGGTGATGGGTCCAAACTCAGAACCTGAACGTGAAGGTAAGTGCCCCGCGGGGAGACACAGCCCCAGTGCCCAAGGGGCTGGATTCCATCTCTGGCAGTACCAGCTACAATTTGAAAACAAAAAGTGGAGGAAAAAATGGAGAATAAACCGTACAAATACAGCAAACATTGAAAGAGAAGGGGAAGAGGATCATTTTTTTTTTCCCTTCTTGGATTTTGGGTCACACCCAGCAGTGCACAGGGGTCCATATGGGATGCCGCAGATTGAACCTAGGTCAGCTGCATGCAAAGCAAGTGCCTTACCAGCTATACTATCTCTCCAGCCCTACAGAAAGAATAGCACTTTAAAACTGAGCTATATTATACAAATATAAGGAGAAAATCAGTGTGCAGAGGAAACAAAGAAGTCTTCATGAGTTTTGCATTTATACAAAATCTTGGAACTTCAAACCGGCAAGCTGACATTCTACAAACTTTAACAGAACCAGAGTGAAACTTCTGGTATTTTAACTTGTGTTGTTTTGTCTTTCACACCAGGAAGTGCCCAGGGCTTACTCCTGGCTCCCTGTTAAGAGATTCATTCCTGCTAAGGCTCCAAGCACCAGACGGGATGCTGGGGGATGGAATCTGAGTCAGCTGCATGCAAGCAAGTGGCCTAACTGCTATACTATCTCTCCAGCCCTGACATTTTGTTTTGTTTCTGGGCCACACCCAGCAATGCTCAGACCTTACTCATGCTCTGGGCTCAGGAATCACTCCTGGCAGGCTCAGGGGACCATATGTGGTGCTGGGGATCAAACCCAGATTGGTCTGGTGCAAGGCAAATGCTGCATCTGCTGTACTATTACTCAGACCCCAAGCCCTGAAATTTAAAAAATTTTAACGTGGCAACCATTAATTTTGTCAAAGTAGTGTTTAAAAAAATCAATAGTGTCAGTAATATTTTAGGGAGAGAATCATAATTTGATTTGGTGCCTCTATGTTTTTACTCTACTCTGGTAGAGTACAAAAAAAAAAGTTTGGTTTCAATCATAAATCCTTTGCAGAATGAAACTCCAAAGAAAAAGTCCAAATTGAAATCTCTGCATAAGAAGACATGAATACTAATAAAAGATAATATATTAAAAATATCTGGTATTAATAAAAGACAACACAAACTTATTTTATCTTATTTTATATACCTTATTAAATAAGGTATCTTATTTTATTCTCTGTCCTACAATTCACATACTGAATTCGCTTAATGGCAAAATACACAAAAAATAAATTCCAACCTACTGATTCCTGAGGCGGGAAGAATGTGTGACCAAAGCTGATGCCACCAGAGGGAAAGTCAGCTCACCTCAGCACAATGTGGATATTCAGATCAGTCCCACTTTCACACTCAGGTCATGTTTATGATTGTTTTCTAATTACTTTCTAACAGGAACCACTCTCAGCAGTGCTCAGGGACCCTGGACAATCCCCAATCTGATATACTTTGGTTAGTACATCAAAAATTACAATAAACTAAAACTCATTTTCTTAAATCACAAAACTTCACAAACTATTCCATAGCTCATTTTCAAACCAAGACATTAGATCAACTTAAAAGGCCAGGTTTAATGAAAACTGATGTTCAGAAATTATCTTAATTTGAGTTGGTTCTCAAGTACAACTGAAATTCTGAAAGACTGTTTTACCTATGTGAGAGAGAGAGAGAGAGAGAGAGAGAGAGAGCGCAAGCGTGCTTAGAACCTGACCTGGACCCTCCGTGGCCTTACAGAATCACACACGACAAATGGTACCAACAGGGAAAGTTGACCGAAGTGTAGTGTATCAGTGAAGGCCTCACCTTCTTGTCCTTCTCCAGGATGGTCTGGTCACGCTGTTGCAGGAGGCGCTTCAGGGACAGCACCTCCTCCTTCAGCTGGCTGATGAGGACAAAATTGTCCGTTCCCCCACTATCTGCTGACTGATTTATAGAGCTACTAGAAAGAAAAGAGTAAAACACAGTTAACTGAAGTAGAAGAAAGATCAGCGTATGTTCAAATTGCATAAATTAGACAATTCCACAAACATCCTTAGAGCTAATGCAAAAAAATATGTACCTGACAGAAATGGATGCAACTGGCAAATTACCTTACTAATGGCACACATAAATACACCTGCAGAAATATAATTCAGTATTAGCTTTTAGGGGGTCAATACTTCTAGTGTAAAGCAATAGGCAGCCAATTTGTACAGTAACATCAGCAAACTTTTGGCGAATGAACTAAAACAAAGTCACTCTTATAATACTTGCAATCTAAAAACATTTTTCAAGGTCAATTTAAAAGTATCACATTAAGATTTGTGTTTCATTGAGTTTAAGAGAATGTTCTGAAGGCAGATTTGTTTTCCTTTTTTAAAAAACCCAAATTTATTTCCCAAATAAACATAGTTCAGTGCCACTTTCTTACTGCCAAAATTTAGTTTTAAAATTTTATCTGACGGTTTACTCTTCTACTCTTTATTCTTCTCAGAGAAATCAATGTAGAAGATACATGTTTTTATTCTGTTACCATGTAATTGGCAATCGACCATAAATGTTCAACCATATTGAATTTTCATAGCGCTTAAGGAATTTGTTTTTACCTATCTCCATTAGATGGCTTAGATTCCAATTTGGGCTTTTTCTTTGGAGTTTCATTCTGAATTGCAGCAGAAGATTTATGGCTGAAACCAAACATTAACAAGAATAATTAGAGTAAATAGAAACAGCAAACCATTATTATTCCCTAAAGTACTACTGATCTTTACTGACTTTTAAAAATCCTACATAGCAAAGTTAAAGAGAAGCCACAGTACACACACACACACACACACACACACACACACACACACACACACAGGCAGCTGACCAGAGTTCAATGCGCCATACTGTATATGGTTGTAGGCACTGCCCGGAATGATCCCTGCACACAGTTGAGTGTGACCACAAAAAACCAAAACCAAATCCAACAACACATTTCAAAGGCCTTCAGGAAAATGTGTCCACATAGTTACCTCTGTTTCCACAGTCCCTGGTCTTGTTCTGGACTCAAATTGCTGATTCTGAAAAATACATAAATGGCATCATATAACATTTGTTAACTGTAGCTGTAGCACTTTAGCACTGTCCTCCTGTGATTATTGATTTGATCGAGCGGGCACCAGTAACATCTCCATTGTGAGACTTATTGTTACTGTTTTTGGCTGATTGAATATGCCATGGGGAGCTTGCCAGGCTCTGCCGTGCAGGAGGGATACACTCGGTAGTTTGCTGGGCTCTCCGAGAGAGATGGAAGAATTGAACCCTGGTTGGCTGCGTGCAAGGCAAACGCCCTATACACTGTGCTATCACTCCAGCCTGTTAATATTCCTCCCGGTGGAGTCTAATTGTACACGTTCAAATCTCTGTTCAGAAAGGCATAAAAAAAAAAAACCCCGATATACCCAATATTTAGGCTGAGCTACTATTTACCAAATAAATTACATCCTAATTGAGATAAACTTCTTAATAAAATGCTTATGAATTATAAAGGGAATTAAGACAGGTGCAATGATAGAAATTAAATTTTCTCTAAGAGCAGGACTTCTGACAAAATGAACAGTTCACTGAGAATCCTCTAAGTAGATTATCATTCAGAGTTGAAGGAACTCTTAGAGCTTCACGGGCAGGTAACAGCTTAGGGAATTCATGGCCTTGAAACCAGTTTTACAAGAAGCAATAAGAGAAAGACAGGAAAACTTCCCACCATGTGGCAATGAGTATGGCGCTCACCGATGGTGCATATGGTTGTCCTCTACTAGATTAAGAAAGGCTAAAAACACATCGCGATTAACTATTACAAACTGACTTTCATTGGTTTATTGTCTGATAATTCTATTTGCTATTTCTTTAAGTTTATTGAACCAAGCAGTATGAAATAAATTTGTTATTTGCCTGCCAGAGGGGTCTGTTGGGGGGCAGGAGAGAACCTGGGGACACTGGTGGTGGGATTGCTGTTGGGGTGTTTCATGCCGGAAACAACTCTATTATGAACAATTCTGTAAGTCATGATGCTCAACAAACATTCCTGTGAAAATAAAAAGGGGCAATGACAGAATTGAAATTTTCTCTAAAACCAGGACCACCATGATTCAATTTTGTGTCATCAAAGGGAGAGGCGAGGTGAAAGCCACAGCCTGGTTCCGAGTGTCAAGACTCTTCCTGGGCAGGCTGCTGTGCTCAGAACAGCTGAGGGAACCAGGGGCTGACTCAACCTCCAGCTGCTTTCCTAAGGACTCTCTCAGAGTCTCTTGATTTTGCTTGAGTCCATATTCTGAAGAAGCTACTCTGGGAAATTTCATAATAACAAAAACAATTTTACAGTGAAAACTCCAATACTGCTTCCTTTCCATTCCGCCCTATTGCTCTCCAACTGCTATTTCACTGTGACCCCTTTAGCTTTCTCCTGTCCCCGCACACAAGCGATCCTCCCTAGCTGCTACTGCGCTCACTCAGCCCAGGAAGCTCCAACCTACCAAACACCAACCATGAGAACTCTGATATGCCACCATGTCACTGTTCTCTGCAGAGTCTGGTGTAGCCCCAAAACAAACAGAATTACAAAAAAAGAAATAAAGCTACTAGGGCTACTGATAAATCACTGGATAGTAACCTAATACAAAACATTCAATATTACCCACATTTATTCTTTGGGAGATGTCCCAAGAAGTGCTGAGAGGACCCGTGCTCCTCCAGGTGATTCTCGGCCAACCACGCTGGCCAGACCCTGCAGTCCCAGAATTTACACTGGTCACCAGGGCAGCAAGCACCTGGCGATGTTCAGGGCACCATGGGATATGGGGATCAAAGCATGGCCAGGTGCATGTACCTTAATCCCAATACTACCTCCCCTCCTCTGACCTCCAAGGGTGAAAGGTCACACCTGACGATGCTGAGTGGTTACACCTGGCTCTACACTAACTCCTAGCATTGCTTGGGGGATCCCATGTGGGATGGCTGGGCTTGAACCTGGGTCAGCCACATGCAAGGCAAACGCCCTACCTGTTACACTTTTGCTCCAGCCAAGTGTGTAATTTTAAACACAATTCAAGTTGAGAATCAGTCTCCAATGGTCAAGCGTACCATGCCATGGCCAGACTGTACAAGAAGTCCGACAGCAGTGGAAGGTATTTGACCCCAAGGTGGGTTCTAGAAAACTCCTGTCAAGGGACCTACTTGTGTTGGCCGCTGCTGTGCCGGTGGTGGTGGTGGTGGTGATGGTGGTGGTGCTTTGAGTGATGCTGGTCTTTCTCAGGAAGGGACGAGGAGGAGTTGGAATGGGAGGTGCCCAGGCTCTTCCTCTGCTCCTTTGTCTTCTGTAAGACTCTTTTGTATGACAGAGTACAAAGCCAGCAGAGTAATTTTCCATCAACCTTTGGAAAGGAAAACATTTGCATTCAATTTAAAACACATGCACACTGGCCACAAGTGAAGCCAGGTGGGACGAAGTGACCAACTTCTAAGTGTATAACCCCAAACCGTCACCTCTCTCCCTTAAACCAGGTAAGATGACCTGGTAACCTTCCGACTCTATATGCCCTAGCAATCACCCCCTCTCCTTAGATACATGCAGGTTCTTTGCAAAATGGAAGTAAAACTAAGACTTCTTTAAAACTTGGCAAAATGCTAGTTTGGAAGATAATAAAATTGATGATTTATGAATTTCTATTCGTTATTTAAAAAGTATTTATTAATTTATTTTGCCTTGGGGCCACACCTGGTGAGGCTCAGGGGTTACTCCTGGCTTTGCACTCAAGGATCATTCCTGGTGGTGCTTGGGAGACCACATGAGAAGCAAGGTAAGCACCTTACCTTGTACTGTCTCCCAAGCTTCAGACTTTTTTTTTAACTGATTCACCGTGAAATAGCCCATTACAAAGATGCTCATGATTGGGCTTCAGTCATACACTGTTCCAACACCCATCCCTCCACCAGTGTAAGTTTCCCTCCACCAGTGTCCCGAGGTTCCCTTCCACTACCCCTCAATTCCCACTTACCCCCTCCCCTGCCTGCCTCTACGTTGGGCGCTTTCTCTCTGTCTCTCTCCCTCCCCGCCCACGTCTCCTCCCTCTCTTTGTCCAGCCCCATTCTTAAGTTATTTTTAATTTGGAGAAAAAAAATTACAGTACTAGAAAGAGAACCAGATTAATATACTGCAAAGGCCTGCTGTGAAGGAATTTTGTCTAAGCACTAGCCTGAATCTTGAATTATTAAATCACTAATTATTACAAAAATGTGAAACTGTCCTTTACTTGCATTACCATAAAAGCTTCATTTATCGGGGGAAAAAAAAGTAGAATGACATATATAACCAATTCTCATGTGTAGGTTTTATTTGTTTATGGTTTTGTCTCTACTTCACTGGGTAGGGCACTTGCCTTGCAGATGGCAGACCTGGGTTCAATCCCCGGCATCACATATGGTCCCCTGAGCAACACCAGGAGTAATTCCTGAGTGCAGAACCAGGAGTAACCCCTAGGCATTGCTGGGTGTGACCCTTCCCCCCAGACCCCCCCCCAAAAGGCATAAGATTACTTTGAACTATACAAGCTAATATTCAACCATCAGGACTTCTGTACTGGCTCCATCAAGGAACCAGAAACAGCCAAGCAGTTGCACAGCCTAAAACCCTCATCTCCTGGATCCAACATCCAGGACGGTCGCCAGAGGGTCAGCTCAGTGTCCAGCACTCGCTGCTCACCAGCACCTTTCAGGGCCCCAAAACGCAGGTGTTTCATGGGGTGCTGACTGCCACCACTTATGCCTTGTTGACCCCTCAGGCACATACCTTCCTCCTGCCCTCCTCCTTCCGGTCGAAAGCACACTGCTGCTTGCACTGCTCACAAGTCTGAGGCGCCCCATACTTCTTTTCGGAATTCGTGCAACGCTGACACTTGGTGCCAATAAACGCGGCTATTATGTTACAGTACTGACAAGGCTTGGGCTGAAAAACAGACATTTTCTTTAGTTGAGATACTTAAAAATATTAAAAACTCGCTGAACAAGACATGCTCGCAGTACATGCTATGCATCTCTGGAATTAATGACGCTAAAATAGTCCCCCCTGTTGCCCAATCACAGCCAATCACATCTATCATACTTCTATTCATTTGATTCTATTTCTGGATCAGGAAGCTCATTGTTCCCCTATGAACAGCTAAATAACGTGAGAAAACAACGTTCTCACGTGAAAGCCATTTCAAAAGGTGAAAACAAAGGTGTACTTTGTTAGAGGTTTGTATATCCAGGATCTGGGGGAATGAATCTCTACTCCAAAATCCTGATGAGATTTATTCTATCACTTATTCAAAGGGGTGACTTACTGTCATATACAAGGAGAGGTGACACAGGAATACAACAGAAGAGACCTGTAACACACTCAACATGAACGAAAACACACCCTTTTTTTTGACACTCACAGTAGAATTCGGGGTACTTTAGGTTCTGAGGCTGCAGTGACTGACGTGGTTGCAGTGACCACGCAGTGTCTGTGGTACCCAGGCATGGATCTGTACCAGGACACTAGGTTTCTATGAAATGAATGTTTAGCTGTCCATACTGCCATGCAAACACTGCTTGTAGATAAACTTCTTTGTCATTAAGACTCTATATTTAAACCTTTGCCGTTTCAGTGATGTGGCACTCAGAGACCATGTGACGAGGGTGGCAGGGATCAAACTGAGGCAGTTGCTCTCTCACCCCAGTCATGTTCCAGTCTCTGCATTTGAATCTTTTAAGAATATGCTGGTAGCGGGTAGAGCATTTGCCTTGCACATGGCCAACCCGGGTTCTATTCCCAGCATCCCATATGGTTCCCCGAGCACCACCAGGAGTGATTCCTGAGTGCAGAGCTAGGAGTAACCCCTGAGCATCGCCAGGTGTGACTCAAAAAGCCAAAATAAATAAATAAAATTTAAAAATGCTGGTAAATTTCACAATGTAATTCAATTAAGTATCCACACGATAATGATAATTTTATTATCTGCTAAACCCAAGCCTTGGCACATAAAGCATCAATACTCTACTACTGAGCTGTATCCCTGACCCCACCCCTCCCCCGTTGTAAAGAGGCATTTTGAAAATGTCTTCCCATCAGCCTAGGTATTTTTTCCTGAAACATTTTTGTAAGTTACTTAAGCAGATGTCAAACTATCTTTTAAAAGTTCCATCTTTGAGAAAAACGTCAACCAGTAGCTCAAATATAAAGTGAAAATGGAAGACATACCGTGCCAAACTGTTTCACATTTTGAGCACACTTCTTACAAATTGTGTTAGTTTTGCTGAAAAGGAAATTGTACAGATTATCAAATTTATGCAGCTCTCTGAGCAAACTAGCATAGAGATGAATAAAAAGCAGATTAGTTGATCGTGTATTTAATACTTTTTACATAGGTCAAGCAATTTAAACACACACACGGTATCTTTTTAGGTTGTATGTTACCAATTCAACCATAAGTACCTTACAAAGAAATGTTTTTAGACATTTCTGTTGTGTATTTCTGGGTAAACAAGGTGTCCCCAAGATTCCCCTGAGTTTTCCAAACTTCATACATGTCACTGTCACCAATTAGAGCCACTGGCCTTCTGCACCCTAGAGATGCCTGGGGGATATAGACTTTCTGTCCTATTTAAAGGTTGCCCTCAACACCAGAAGGTGCTCTGTTAGAATGGATGGGTCGAGGCAGACCAACACCCTCAGACCTCACCTTCTCCTCATCTGGAAAACCTGCACCCTCAAGGGAGAGTAGCATCTATGGGTGGAAGGTGCCCACTAGGCACTGTGGGTGACTAGCTAACCACCCTACACCGAATGGGGAAGAACCTCACCGCAGGGGAAAGGACAAGCCGCTGGTTACAGTAACCACTAGACTGTGTGGTTACTTTCTAATAAGAAGTAACAAATTTTTGTAACTCTTGCCTTTTACGTTAAGATACTAAGTGTCAAATTACTGCAATAAAATAGCAACAGACTTCTAAATTCTTTCACTGACAACAGAGTAACTTCACATTTGGTTACACTGCTAAAGTTACAAACTCACAGTTCCAAGTCTTTGCCTTTTCTTTTTTTTAAGTCGTGTACTGGGTGATCTGTTTATAACTGCACTTTCATTAACAACTCATTATCCGATTCATTTACTTTGTTTTCCCACAAGTAAAATGAAGAACGGTCACCGTGATTTGGTTGACATTCTTGCCCAGTACGTAGTATAGATGTACAGTTTACAGTTTGCCAAGGGAACCACCAAATGCTCTCATGCAAACATGGGCTTCACCTCCGGGACCCGAACAACATTTCATCTTTCAGCCATCCAAACGGGCTTGGCATACAAACCTCTCTTGCTGAAATTCGGATCTGCAGTAAGTACATTTTACAATAGGATGTGCAATCCGACATTCCTGCAATAAGAGAACATATCAGTCGCCGGCCGGAAGCCCCACTTTCCTGCTAGGAAACGCGGCGGCCCAGGGCCTCAGACACCCCTGAAACCTGCTCCCCGACCCCCGCCCACACTTGCGCGCCGTGCCCGGGCAGGGGGGCGCCCGGAGGAGGGGGTCTTTGTCCTTCCAGAACGCCGGAGGCCGGCCACGGGCGCACCCGGCCCGCTGTCAGGGCGGAGCGGGCGGCCAGGGGCGCATACCCGCGGTCCCGAGGCGTGGACAGCCGGCCGCTGCCCCGGCCCCACCCCCGGGGCGCCCGCCCGGGTCCTGCTGCCCGCGGACCTTGCAGAGCTGCTGTCCCTGCGAGAGCTCCTCGAAGGGGTAGCGCTGCGTGCACTTGGTGCAGGCGTACAGCGCCGACGCCGCCATCCCGCCGCCGCCGCCGCTCCCGGCCCGGCCCGCCCGGGCCGCCGGCGCCGCCGCTCCCGCCTAGGCCCCGCGCGCGGCGGAGGGACACGCAGCCCGATCCCACTGCGCCCCAGCTGCGCTGCGGCGGCGGATCCGCTTCCTCCTCTGCCGCCCTTCGCCGCCGCCCATTGGCCGCGGGGCCGCTTGCGTCATCGCGCCGCGCCGCGGGGCGCTCCCACAAAGGGCGGGCTACGCCGGCCAATCAGCGCGCGGCGTCCCGGCGGGCCCCGCCCACCCGCTTCCCGCCCGGAGCCTGTTGGCCTCGGCGCGCCTCGACGCCGTTCCCGCGTGCACCTGGGGTGATCGGGGCGGCCGGGACCGCAGCGGAGGCGCGACCCCCGGCTCCCGCGGCCCCCGGCGCCCGGCCTCCGGGAGCCAACGCGAACCCCGGCGCCGCGGGCCCGCCGGCCGGTGGCCACGGCCCCTGGGACGCGAGCCCGTCTGTTCGCGCCCTCAGGCCGCCCCGCCTCGAACCCCGCCCCCTGCAGCATCCCCCCCCTTTGCGGCAGCCGGCGCGCGCCGCCTTATGACGTCACTGGCAGGGGCGGGTCTTCCCGGCGCCCGGGGAGCACCCGGCTCTTTGATTGGCTGTGCGGAACGTCCGTCCGGGCTGCGCGGTCCATTCTCCGAGCCCCCAGCGGCGCGTCGGTGTTCCTGAGGCGGCAGCGCGGTGGGCAGCGGGTGGGGGGTGGTGGGTGGGCTGGCTGAGAGGCCGCGGGCAGCGCTGCCCCGTCCACCTGGGGGGGTCGGCTCGGGCTCGCTCCCCGGGCGGCGGCTGCCGGATCTCCGAACGGGGCCTCGCGCGACGCGTCTCCCCGAGCGACCCGGCGGCGGGAAGATGGCGGCGGCGTCTGTGTCGGCGCTCTCGGTGAGGAGACAGGCGACCCCTCAACGGGACCCCCTCAGCCAGGACCCCTCAGCGTGGGACCCCCTGAGCAGGACCCCCTCAGCCGGGACTCCCTCAGCGTGGAACCCCCTGAGCGGGGACCCCGTCAGCATGTGACCCTTCAGCGTGGGACCGCCTCAGCCGATACCCCGTCGGCGTGAGGTCCCTTCAGCAGGGACCCTTTCAGCGTGGGACCCCCACCCTCAGCCGGAACCCCCCCTCAGCGTGAGACTCCCTCAGCGGGCCCCCCCCCCGGTCAGCGTGGGACCGCCTTAGCGGGGACCCTCTTCAGCGTGAGACCTCCTTAGCGGGGACCCGGTCCGAGTTCTGTACCCCATCCTGTTTTCCCAGGGTCTCTCTTCTCCCCCCCCACCCCAGTCATCCCGGGGTTTATCCCCCTCCACCCCTCTCCCCCTACCCACAGTGGACGGAGTTCCACCGGGTCATTCCAGGGTCTGTGCTCCCCTCACCCCGAGTGGCCATTCCAGGACGTGCCCCCCTGAGTGGAGGTCTCCTCTGCAGCTCCCGGGCCGAGGGTGCATTTGAATAGCGGTGGCCAGTGCTTGTGTGTGACAGTGCGACAGTAGCCCCTGGCATGTAGCTAGGCATCTCTCCGTAGATCTCTCTGAATGGACTCCCTGCAGAGGGCCCCCCCCCCCCCAAGCTTCCTGGGATTGATTGGGTCGCCAGAGGCTGAGGCGGTTAGTGTGCCAGCTCAGAAGTTTGGTGGCATCCGGATGCGCAGAAACTAGGAGGAAAGGAACTCAGGTTCATTTCAAGCCCGACATCTAACTGGTCTCCCTGCCATAAAGCAGTCTTTTAAACGGCCTGCTGCATAGTTACCTGATTTTTTTTTTTTTTAATGAAGGACTGGGGATGTGGTTCAGTGATAGAACCTTGCAGGAGTGACACTCATGGTTCAATTGCTGGAGCTGCATGGCTTCCCTAATAAAATGAATAGCGTCATACTTTTTTTTTTCATATTTCTGCTTCTCACTATTATCACCAAACGTTTAGAGGGTCTGATGACAGTGATTATATGGTGCTACCTGCCAGTCAGTGTTTTAAACTTTGTTCCTGCATGAGCAAAATGAGGCACGGAGGGGTTAAGTTTAAGTGGTTAAGGTCAAGGTTATGCAAATAAAAACGTCAGAGCTTCTAATCTCCATATATTGTTATATCTTAAAAGGTGGGAGAATTTGTTCAATGGTTTTCAAGCTCCCTGTACTGCATGCACAAATGTTTCTCTGAGAAGCTGAGTTCTCAGTGAATCTGAAGTCCTCAGGCCAGGTGGGAAGTCCCTGAGCTTTTCTCACAGAATCTGCTGTGTCCTGCCTTACCTTGTAACTTCATGGGACATCATATTTTCTTTATAGACATCAATCAAAGCTGCATATCCAACACTGGGGTGGGGCACTTCTAAGAATCCGAAACGGTATTGGGCCCAATCAATTATAGAGAGGATAGGTAGGGTCCTTGCACTTGGCTGACTCGGGTCCTACCCCATGCACTCCATATGCACCCCTATGGTCCCCTGAGCCCTATCAGGAGTCAGCCCTGAGCACTGCCAGGTGTAGCTCCCCAAACCAAAAATACGTATGTGAGTGGGACAGGCAGCACAAAGGTATGGGTGTCTTGTGGTGGGAGACCCCTACTTATTCTTTGGTGACATTAATGGAGTTGCCCATCTTTGACATAGGGTTCTTTAACAGGGATTTGTAAAAAGCAGTTTTTAAAAGACAATATTCCATAATGGTGCATTTTGAAAGATATTACCATTTTTCCAAGTCCATTTTATATACTGCCAAAGGTTTAATAGGGAACCCTGATTATAATATTTTGCTTGTTTGGGGGCCATGTTCAAGGGTGTTTGGGGAACTATGGTGGCAGGGATTGAACTGAGACCATCCCAATGAAGATTGTGTGTGATTGCCAACTTCCATCAAACAGAGGTCTCGTTACCAGTATGCACAGCCCTGATTGACTCATGGTTCCCCAAGAACAGTTTTACATGTAGCACACAATAAGCAAGCAAAGGAGAGAAAACAAGTGAAGGAAACTAGTATCTAGTTTAGGGTTAAAGTGTTTCAAGAAAAGAGCAGAAAAGATATGCCTGCAAGTGCAGGTAGTGGGGGCCCAAAGAGGAAGGCCGGCTCCATCCTGCTTAACTGTTTTTTTATGGCTTCACTTGTCCTGTCTTATCAGTTCCCTCTAACTCTCTTCCAAGTGGGTGGAATGCCTGGAGTCTGAGGTTCTCACCATATTTGGTGGTGTTCATGGGTTGTCATGGTAACTATAAATGGACATGATGTCTGGGCTTGATTTTGATAAATAGACTAGTAAATGATCATAGAAGAGCTGGTTCTTGGTCACCCCGGACTGGCCTATGTTTGCTCTCCTTGGTTGTAACAAAGGGAGGGACTGGGAAGAGAGTTCTGGGATTAATGCACTTGTCTGCAGCTGGTCGTGTTTACATTCCCACCAGCCCTGAATGAAGTAAAGGCTTTTTCATATACCCTCTTTTTAGTAGCATATACCATTTTATTGCCGTGGGGTGTTACAATAATGTTCGGAGAACTGCCTTACTGGGGTCTGGATGAGAGTGCTCTGGGGACAGGAGGCAGCTCAAAGACCTGGAACACTGCCTGGGGTGCTCTCTGAGCCATTACTTTTGGCCCAAAAACAAACCAAAAAAAAAAAAGCGATTATGATACTGTTACAGTAGTTCAGGCATAAGTTTATGATGGTGACAAATACTTTGAAATGAATGTTTCTGGATAGATTTTGAAGACAAAGTGCCAGTAGAGTTTACTGGAAAAGGATGGATGTAGGATATCCCCTCTAAAGGTTTTGACTGAGCTCCTGGTGTCAGATTATTGTGATAAGCCTGGAGAGGAGTAGATCTGGGAGTAAGTTTAGGAACTGGGTGGGTAGAGAAAGGTTTGAGATGCCCATGCTAACATGCAAGTGGAGATAATGAGTAGAAAGCGCTGGCTTCTACTCACCCAACCTAGGCAGTATTCTGATATAGTTTACAAAACAGTTTCATTAAGGAACAAATTCCTAAGCAGTGAATATAATGAAGATGGTTTATCTTAGACTTTTTTTTGGTGTGGACTGTGTGTGTGTATGTATGTGTGTGTGTGTGTGTATTTACAAAGTCAACATTTCTACAATGTTAAATAATTCTAAATGTTCCAAAGAGTTGTAAGTAGATTTGAGGTGGTTTATGTTCATAAATATATGGATAAGTAGTTTTTCCTACTGGTCAAAGAGAAAGTAACCAGGGCTGAGGAGTTTGCCTGGTGTGTAGCTGACTGCATCCCCAGCACTGCCTGGAGGGATCCCTGAGCACAACTGGCTGTGGCTCTAAAATAACTTCCTGTTGCTCCTTTTGATGGTAGTTGTTAATGACAAGATACTAATGGGTTATATAAAATCTCCATAATTAGCATTAATTTTACCATAAAGTAAACATGTGGAACAATTCCAAAATAGACAGTATCTTGCTTATGTTAGAATGATGCATGTGGAAATAATTGTATGTTATCTCCTTGATAAGCCTTGATATTTTCTAATTTTTGTCCTTGCTGTAAATGTTTGAAACCAACAGGACTATGCCATATTTTCCTTTCATGTGTCTTATAAGTAGGAAATACATATTTGTTTGAAGTAGATTAATTCTGTCATGTTGCAGCAGTTTCTAATGTAGTAAAAAGATAGTATCTTACCCCTGGATTTATTTTACAGTACGGATCAAAATGTTATATAATAAAATTGTGAATACTATGTTGGGGCTGGAGCGATAGCACAGAGGGTAGGGCATTTGCCTTGCATGCAGCTGACATGGCCGACCCGAGTTTGATTCCTCCACCCCTCTCGGAGAGCCCAGCAAGCTACGGAGAGTATCTTGCCCACATGGCAAAGCCTTGCAAGCTACCTATGACATATTCGATATGCCAAACACAGTAACAAGTCTCACAATGTTACTGGGCCCTCTTGAGCAAGTTGATGAACTATTGAGGACAGTGACAGTGAATACTGTGTTTAATTATCTTCAGCAATTGTATTCAAACTCTGTTAGCATTTTTTTTTTGATGGTGTATGCGATAACTTTCCCGGCAAGCTACCGAAAGTATGCCGCCTGCAAGGCAAAGCATGACAAGCTACCCTTGATGTATTCGATATGCCAAAACCAGTAACAAGTCCCACAATGGAGACATTACTGGTGCCTGCTCTGCAAATGATCAACAGGTGGACAGTGCTACAGTGTTACAGTATGTTATATCTTTAGTCAAACATATAGCACTGAAGGGATCCATGAATATGACTCAGTGGTAGAGCTCATCTTACATTGTTCCTGACACTGCCACCCACATAGGAACCACAGTGATAAAGGCTTTCTTATAGTCTAATAATTGAGTTCTCAGTTATGAAAAATTGGCTTTTCTCTGTTGTCTTTATTAGTTAAACAGAAGATGGTCCTCGTGGTCAATTATTTATAAGTTGGTTGCAATTTAATTTTTGAAAAGTAATTGCGATGTTTTTATTTTTTCAGAAAAATGGAGCTGAAACATCGAAGTCCAGTGGAAATGTGGCTCGCCATTCTTCCTCTCCATATGTAGTGTACCCTCCTGATAAGCCGTTCCTGAACAGTGACCTGCGACGCTCCCCCAGCAAGCCTACAGTCGCCTACCCTGAGAGCAACAGCAGAGGTAACCGCCACTGCAGGCGAATGTGGCCTGTTCTTACTCATTGAATTCTTCATTGTGTCTTCCCTTCAAAAGTTACAGAAGAGGATATGCTTACCTTTCCTATTTTGAACCTTCTAAAATAGAACCCCCTTGTTTTAAGTTTTTTAAGTTTGTGGGGTCGCATCCGGGGTGCCTCGTGATGGGTATGCTGCATTCCCCCAAGCCCTCTGGGGACTGAGCCCACCACTCCCATGGGTAAAGTCTATGCTTCAGCCCTTTGACTCCAGCCCCAAACTCATTAGTGTTCTGGATCATGTGAGTGTTCTGAAAATGATTCATCATACCTTTTTTTTTCTTTCTTTCTTTTTTTTTTTACCTATCTGGAAATTTATTTTTTTTCTAGTAATTTTTTTTTTAAATTTTTATTAGTGAAACACCATGAGGTACAGTTGTAGACTTACAAATTTTTGTACTTGGGTTTCAGTTATACAATGATCAAGTACCCATCCCTCCACCAGTGCCCATTTTCCACCACCATGGGTCCCAGTATCCCTCCCACCCCCCTATCCCCCCCATCCCACACTGTCTCTGTGGCAGGGCATTCCCTTTTGTTCTCTCTCTCCTTTTGGGTGTTGTGGTTTGCAAAAGAGGCATTGAGTGGCAGTCATGTTTGGTCTAGAGTCTACTTTAAGCATGCTTCTCCCATCCTGGGAGAAGCACCTTTTTCTTAAGGGCCAAAAAGCTTCCTGCCTAGAGAGGTAGTACAGTGGGTAAGGCCTTTGCCTTCCATGCAGCCAACCTGAGCTTAATCCCTGGTTGCATCACAGATGGTCCTCCCGGCAGTGCCAGGAGTGATCCCTGAGTAAAGCCCTGGACGCTGCTGGATGTGGCCCCCAAACAAAACAAAACAAGGTGAAATGTGACGCTTTCCATAAAATACACTTCATCTGTTATCAAATTGTACAATATAGGTATCAGATTCTACAGATAAACGTCTGAAAGATAGGAGCATATGAAGTATCAAAACCACTTTCTCTTAACATTTCCCTAGTTATATCACATCCTCAAATATTTTTTTAATAATGAAGTCTTGTGGGGTAGATAGTCTCTGATGAGCTTTTCTCTTTTTTACTAGTGCTTTAATTGTCACTAATAATGTTACTTGGGAAAAAGCCCTTGTTATTAGTGTAATTGTGGTTTTATACATTTATTGGTAGATTACCATTTCACTTTACTGTTTTATAATCACCTTGAAAATATACAGTGCCTAGGAAATTTTAGCTGTTTTTCCCCCTCAGGTTTTCAGAAACTCATCTTGAGCTTTAGCAGAGAAATGCTGTGGACAATAGGTTTTCAAAAAGTTTACCTTAGACTCTTCCATAAAAATGTAAACCAGTATCATTCCAGGGACACATCACTTGTGTTCTTTGGACAGTTGAAGCGAGATAATTAGCTGTGAGGTGATTCTATAGGCCAGTATTTCCCAGCTTTTCACTTGTCCTGGAACCTGCAACTAATGAGGTGACGAGATGCTTCACACAGATGGATCAGTGGGGCTGCTGCCACCTGTCTGAGCTGTTGACTGTCCCCACCCCCATAGGCCCCTGGGACGGAGAGAAAGCATGGTGGGTGTCTCCAGCAGGAATACTCAATTCCTGTGACTAGGAGGAGGGGCAGGTTGGAGCTGTTATGCGTGGTAATGATGTTTATTGACTACCCATCTGTGCTTTTTTTTCCCTGCCATCTGTTCTTCTGCAGCATTAGTTCTCAATAATTTTGAGGACCCATTACATGTTTTATTTTGATAAAGAAAAACTATTTCTCAAATTAAAAAAATACGTAGAACAAAGATGTGTTATTTTCTTTCATAAATCTCATTTGTGGCTTAATGGAAAATAGCTTGATTCTCATCTACTCTTGCATTCCATTTGTGGCGATAAATTTTAATTAAAGTATGTGAAAAAAGTCTTGCTTTGGAAAGATTAGTTGGAAAAGTAATAATATTATCTAGCCTTCCCATCAATTTGAAAATACTAGTAGTTGCTACAATAAGACTTTGGAATGGTAGCACTGTCCTCCCGTTGTTCATTTATTTGCTCAAGCAGGCACCAGTAACATCTCCATTGTGAAACTTGTTTTTGGCATATTGAATATGCCACAGGGAGCTTTCCAGGCTCTGCCGTGAGGGCGGGATACTCTCGGTAGCTTGCCGGGCTCTCTGAGAGGGACAGAGGAATGGACCCAGGTTGGTTACTTAGAATGTTGCAGCATAGAATCTGAAAACCTGGTTGGATTTTTAAATGCTATGATCTTGAAACCTTTAGGTTTCCTACATGACTGGAGGTTCATTAGAAATGCTCACGGGATTCAGAAGCGGTTGTCATGGAAGCTGTGGTTTGTTTCAGTGAAAGGTTACAAGGAAATAACAGCTGGAAGGAAAGGCACATTAGGTGGCATTTGGAGAAGCCCAGCTGCAGGCTTCCAAAGCGTCTCACCGCACTCAGGCAGAGCATGCCCTTAGAAGTGAACTGCATGTGTGCGCAGTAATGTGCTCAGAGGAGCACAAGAAACCAGGCCTGTGGCAGAGAGCCTCTGTGTACTTTGTGCCTGTTCAGCCAATTACGAGCTTCATTGTGAAGCATATAGTTTGCTTAAACTTTGTAGGTATACATCAGTAGGGTTCTTGCCCTTAGGATACATGAAAACTTGATCAGTAACTTGGGGAAATTCCAAAAACCAGGTTTCCAGGAGTTGGCTCAAGTTCAGGCTTGCTCTGTAACCCTTTTTTCAGAGGCTGCTACATTGATGTCCCTTAATGCTGTTTTATTTTTGAAAGATTCCTTTACCCATAGATCCTTTATACTGATAGATTGACTCACACCAGTGCATTTTTTACCTACTATTAAGAAATCACAATTAATACAACCAATCTAAATATGGCACGTTTCCTTGAATCATCTTTATTTGGACTAGTTTTATCTTTCATTTTGTCCCTTTCATTTCTCAGCTGTAAAATACCTTAATGTTAAGATATGTTTATTTTTTTTGTTTGATTTGGGACCAAAACTATCTGTGCTCAGGGACTACGGGTGTGTTGTTTGAATCCACATGGTGCTTAGGAGCAAACCCCAGCCTTCAGAATGCAGAAGGCTCTAGCCCCAACAGCTCTCTCTGGCCTGGTACGTTCATATTTAGGTATAGTGTTATTGAATGCTTTAGCCTACTGTTGAATGTGAACCTGCCTTCCAAATACATGGGGAAACTAAAAATTCATCTGATTTGCTTTATTGGGTAGTCTGGAACCACACCTACAGTATCTCCGAGATATTCCTGTAGAAGAAATTCTTTTGGTTGGGAAGCTATAAAGTTAAGGTAATTCTTTTTAGAATTTGATTTTTCACTTGAATCTTATCAGTTATCAGTGGCACAAGTTACTGTTAGGTCCCTGAAGTGATAGGTTCATGTAATTTTTGAGTAAATGGCTGTGAGATAAATCAGACCTATGGTTAGTCAGAAGTTCTTTCAGATATAAGTGGTATTCTCTGGAGGAAATGGTCTCAGTCCAGTTCCAACTATCTTTGCTTATATGTGAACTCAGGAGTAGAGTTTTCTATTGCTCATTTCTACTTGGAACATTTTTCACTAAAAGGATTTTCTAGGTAGTGTTATAACTTGAACATAAATGACACGGTGCTGCCTGGAATTTGAGTGCAATATAAGAAGAAAAGGCAAGAGTTCATTCACGTAATCTCAGGAAAAAGTATTTAAGGCCTGTCACTTACAGTGTGGTCCTGCAGACAGAAGGTTGATGTTTTCTTAGAAATGTGCTCTGATGTCAATCATATCACACTAAGACTGGAGTGTGTGTGTGTGTTTGTGTGACTAGAAGTAGAACACGTGTGTGTCAGGCATGCAGGAAGTAGAATTACTGCTTTAAAAAATAGAAAAAGAGAAATTTGCTCCATTCCTAAATGGGATGAAAAGAATCCTTAAATTTTATATGCCTCCTCTACCCGTGATCCATTCAGTCTTAAACCCAAATGGCAGTGAGGCCAAACTTTTTATTGATTTTTAGTTGATATGTTGGAGCGATAGCACAGTGGTAGGGCATTTGCCTTGCACACGGCCGACCCGGCAGACCCGAGTTTGATTCTTCTGCCCCTCTCGGAGAGCCCGGCAAACTACAGAGAGTATCTCGCCCGCATGGCAAAGCATGGCAAGCTACCCGTGACGTATTTGGTATGCCAAAACACAGTAACAACAAGTCTCACAATGGAGACGTTACTGGACCTACTCGAGCAAATCGATGAACAATGGGAGGACAGTGCTACAGTGCACTAAAAATGTCAGCTGATAAAAGCTTACTGAGGTTACAAGTGGGAATTTACCAGAGTAATGTGTTTTTCACTTGAGTACTCCACATTTCAGTGACTCAGAAGAGATCTTTTTGAAAAATGAAGGTGGTACTGTATCATTTCTGATAGTGTGATCCTCTTTCACTGGACCTACCTAGCAGTTTAAATTTTTACTGAGGAGAGTCTGTTCTTTAGTAAACTTCCCGAATACATGTATTATCAGAGTATTCATGTTTTTATTTGGCAGCAATTTTTTCTGCTCTGAGGAATCTTCAAGATAAGATTCGACGCTTGGAACTTGAAAGGATTCAGGCAGAAGAAAGCGTGAAAACCTTGTCTAGAGAAACAACTGAATATAAGAAAGTACTTGATGAGCAGATACAGGAAAGGGAGAACTCGAAGAATGAGGAATCGAGGCATAATCAAGGTTTGTCCCATTACAACAAATGAAATGCTCTTTAAACATCGTAGAATGATTTTAAAGAAATTTCATCTTAGTCTTTTCCTTGTGTCATTGTTTTAAACACTAAAAAATAGTCTTTGACTCAAATGAGGAGCAAATGTTAACATGCTTTCTGTTGACAGACACTGGGCAGGTGGGAAGTGAATGGCCTAGCTCTCTGGGAAATACTTCTGGGATTCTGAGTTTTTTGTCTACATAATAGCTTCAGTTTCTGTTAAACTGCTTCTGAACTATTAGATGAGTGGGCTAATCTCTGCTTTTTGTGTGTGTTCTTTTTAGAATTGGCATCTCAGTTATTGGCTGCAGAAAATAAATGTAATCTTTTAGAAAAGCAGTTGGAATACATGCGAAATATGATAAAACATGCTGAAATGGAGAGGACATCTGTCTTAGAGAAACAGGTGTGTGGCAGTGCACAACTACTCCATAATAGCGAGAGTTGAAAAGACTTTTCTTCTCAGTAAGGATTAATAGTGCTGTTAGAATTCTTTCATCTTCAAGTAACCATTGGTTGAACCAACCATTGAACCAACAGTTCATTTGGATGATCTACCACTATAGAGGGACCTGGGACTTGCTCTGAAGCAGTATTCCTTCTTTGGATGCCCTTACATACTCTGCACATGATTCTTGAATATCTTCCCTTTTGAACAGTCTATGAGCCCAGGACAGAAATTGTGTTCATTTGTGGTCCTGCTCATTCTCACATGAGAACCGTGTCTCCATTTCCTCTGTGGAACACACAGGATCGTGGGTTGCGCTGTAGGCTGTGTTTTGTGTTCACTGTGATGCTGAACTCTATACATTAAAAGAATTCCTGGGGCTAGAGCAATAGTACAACGGGTAGGGCATTTGCCGTGCATGCGGCTGACCGGGATTCAATCCCCAGCATTCCATATGGTCCCCCAAACACCGCCAGGAATAATTCCTGAGTGCAGAGTCAGGAGTAACCCCTGAGCATCTCTAGGTGTTACCCAAAAAGCAAAAATAAAATAAAAGCAGAATTGCTAACACAGAATCTTACTCATTAAAAGTTGCAGCTCTTTTGCTACAGGTAAAAGGTAGAGACTAAGTCAGTTATTAATAATAATAAGATGCCTTGATGAACATGTCAGTATGGTAGACATATATAATAATGCCTTTGAGTTACAGTCCTGTTCAGCAAATTTTCAGTAATATTATTAATAAGAATAGTTCCAGTGTTGGAATTAACACGATTTGTGCTTTTTTACCTTCCCATAGTTTTGGGGATCAAGTTCACGGCCTTTTGTGAAGTATATAATTTGCCACTGAACTACATCCCTAGATAATTGGTGCCAATTTTTACCTAAGAGCTGTAACTGTCCATCCATCAGGAAGATAGAAAAGAATAATTCACACAAAATTTGTGAGAAAGTCTATGCTTTATGTTACTTTATCATTTTCAAATTTTTGTATGAAAGTTGCTACAGATTTGACTACCAAAGATGCACTGTTTACGATTCAGATCTGTACTTTATAAATTATTCACTACAAGTTAGTATTTTACACTTTTTAGTTTATCTTTACCCAGTGACTGTTCTTAAAATCTTTGAGGACTTCAGACCCTCAACCTTAACAGAGAAAAGGAATATTTTAAATGAGGGAATCCTGAAGGAAAATAAATGATAGGTGCCAAAATCATAATTATTACTTTAATTTAGAGACTAGGAGAATCAGACCTAACTGTGTGTCTGTGTGTCTGTGTGTGTTTGTGTGTTTATAGTGAGTGTATAGAACCAAGGGTACAGTTGTATATAGTGAGAGCAGAATTTTACTGCCATTTATGGAAGCAGTTCCTGTGGATTTAATATTGGTTTTCTAGAATTCCCCTGCCAATATCTAAAAAATGCTATGAAAGCCCAAGTAGTACACATTGTATTTAAGATTTCCTCAGTGTTAGTTGTTAATTGTTGTCATGCTATATTTACTGTTATTTCCCAGGTTTCCCTAGAGAGAGAACGACAGCATGATCAAACGCATGTTCAAAACCAGCTTGAAAAACTGGATCTTCTTGAGCAGGAGTACAACAAGCTTACCACAATGCAAGTCCTTGCAGAAGTCAGTGAATGTCTTCCTGATCCATGGAGTTGTGCCATTGTTTTGTAAAGCTGATTGTTTAGTGATAGGGAATCTTGTAACAAAGAAGTACTTAAGAATTTTTAGATGAAGAAGTGTGAATGTGGAGACATTTCACAGTCAAGCAGTATTGAGAAAGATTTCTTTTTGAAATTATTGAAGAGGAAATGCATTTGAGCATTTAAGACTGCATCGCTTGGTTTTGTTTTTTTTGAAAGTTTTTAGTTTTGAATGATTTACTTTAGAAAGTGATTTAATACTGGATTCAGCTTCCATGCAGCTTATGTATCTTTCTACGAAGCTATTCCTTGCTGTAAAGTTTACTCATAATTCTTTTCAGATAACTCATGACAGCCTGACAAGTTTTAATACTGAGTCAGAAAGATAAGGATCCTGAGTGCTGGCTAGCCTAGGCTAGTATGACAGTGTTAACAAGCTTATACTAAACTTTGACAACTTTTGTTGCTCTGTTAAATCTGTTCTTTTTATATTAAGATCTTGCAAATAGACCTAAAACTCTTTGTTCTTATCACTAGAAAAAAATGCAAGAGTTGGAAGCAAAACTCCATGAAGAGGAAAAGGAAAGGAAACGCATGCAAGCTAAGGCAGATCAGGTTCGTTGACATGTTAATTCATGGTAAAATGATATGTGTTTGGTCATACTAGCACAGTGCTAGAGCCATTGGAGGGTGTCTGCCTGGCACACGGCTGATCCCTGGCACCCTATCTGGTCCCACCAATAATAATTCTAGTGCATAGCCCTGAAGACTGCCGGGTGTGACCCAAAAATCAAAATATGAATAAAAAAATGAAACCATTGAGATTTCCTGAGTGAAAAGTGATAAAACATGTCTCATTCACAATAAAACCTTTTACGTCATATCTGAGGTGGCTTTGAAAGCATCTACAGGTGGGAAATCCAATTGTGATGAGAGGAACACACCTTCATTCGCAGCCCATGTCCACCAGGGAGGAGAGAGAGACTGGCTGTGCGTTCATCACAAATGGGTTATACCAGGCATGCCTAAAAACTAGTGCCGATGGGGTCTGCAAGCTCCCAGATTGGGGCACGTTGGGGCAGGTGAGAGTGGTGCCCCTGGAGAGCGTATGGACCATCTGTTTTCTTTCCTAGACCTTGCCTGTGCAAGGCTTCCTCATTTTGATAAGAAACTGGTGATCTAGTAAGTGAGCTCATTCTGAGAGTTCTGTGAATCACTAGCAGATTAATGTAACTCAAGGGGTGGGAATAGAGGCACCTCTGGCTTATAGCCAGTTAGAAGGATAGGCAACATTCTGGACTTCCACTGGTGTGTGAAAGGGCAGGGAGGTACCCGTGGCAGGGAACCATCTTCATAGTATCAGATCATTAATCCAGACCCCAGGGAGTGTGTGGGGACCGGCAATTGAGAGCTGGTCATTGAGCAGAGGCAACCTTACCTTGTCACTGACCTGTGAGGCAGAAGGCAGTCTCGTAGATCCAAGCCTGGTTACCTGTAATCCTGACACGCACCATCTTACTCCCTAGAACTGATCGACAGACTTGCATATATACGTATAATTTTTTTAAAAGGAAAATTCAGTCTTTAATAATTTTTGCAGGTAAAATTGCATTAATTTAAATAATGGCAAGTGTTAGTTGGTCTAAAGCCGTTGCCCAACTGACAGTGATTTGTCATACTACTAATGGTCTTAAAACCCTTTGAATAGCAGATCCAAGTGGAAGTCATAACTCTTCATTTCTACAGCTTTACATTTAGGCTCTCAATTTTTACTAGTTGCAGACGGGCCTTGAAGCAAATAGACTTATCCTTGAAGATAAGACAGCCCCCTGTGTTCCCAGTGTAAGAAGAATGAAAAAAAAGAAGCCAAAACCACCAGAAAAGGTATGAAAACAGAAAAATAAGCCAAAGTGATGATTATGATTCATCTGAGAACACTCCTGAAACACGGTGCTGCCATTCTGAGTGAATATGGAGAGGAAAGAGAAGTTTAACAGCTACTTAAAATTTTTCCCTGATTATTAGATAATCTATTTAAAAGCACTTTTGAAACTGTATTGTTGAGTTAAATACCTTTACTCTTAAAGTACATGCAGACACAGTTTCTCTCCCTGTAGCTCCTGTATTCACTGTTTAGTCTTTCCTAAGGTAGGTGCATATTGATGAGTTTTCATAGGCACTGAGGTTCACAGTGCCAGTATGGATCAGACAATTAATCGATGAGCAGTAGGCTGGCGTTTTTGGGTTAGCCTTAGATAGCTTTTACTGACGTGCATAAAATTGTTTGTTTTTTTTTCCCATTTAGAAAGGGCCCAGGAACTACTTTTCTGCGCAGCCACATTATAGATTGTGCTTGGGTGACATGCCGTTTGTAGCTGGGAAGGTGAGTTGGTTATTCTCTGAGTTTTTGGTGAGGTAAAAGTGTGGAGGAAGTTTTTGTGAGATTGGGAGAGTAGGAAGAAGAAATTTAAAAGCAGATAAGTTTATATTCAGGAGAAACGTTATGAACCAGAACAGACCTGTGGTATCGAGAAGTATGGCTGCATACAGTGGTCAAGAGAATAGTCCATCCCATTGGCCCTTTTGGTGTATATTAGAAATAGAAATCTGTCCATCCTCACAGTTTGTATTTTCTCCAAGAAAATACAAACTGTATTTTGTACACTTCAGTCTTCCATGTCTTTACGCTTGTAGAGATGTTGATTTTGTTGACTACTGGTTGCTAAAGAGTACTCAATACTATTTTAGTTTATACTACTTTATCACTAACAGTTTCGCTGGTGTGATTAATGTCTTCAATATCCAATCAGATTGTGAGTGTGGAGTTTTAGATTTATTTTAACCTCACAGTATATCTGCCTTAGGAGCTTGAGGAGTGAGTCATTTTCTAGTTTTGCTGCTGCTGCTTTTTATAGTTCTGTGTGGCTTAATAAATGACTTTAAAAAGTGTTCCCACTGGTTCTGTGCTTTCCTGTAGCCTGCATTCATTTCCTTTTGCATTGTAGACATGTCTCTTGACCAAGCTACTTTATCTCTTAGCCCTATCTCACTTCTTTTGTTTCACTATAGAATCATAGGTTGGAAACTGGTTCTTTTGGGGGCCCCACCCAGTGATGCTCAGGGGTTACTCCTGGCTCCGATTTCAGAATCACTCCTGGCAGTGCTCAGGGAACCATATGGGATGCAAGGGATTGGATCCAGGTGGGCTGCATGCAAAGCAAGTTCCCTACCTCCTATTCTGTCCCTCCTGCCCTAGAAACTGGTTAAGGCTTCACCAACTGATCACAGTCCCTCTCCCTTTCCTTCATTGTGGAAACGACTTGTGTATGTGCTTGGTCCTGGTGCTCACTTAAGTGGTTGGAGTGCCCACAAATGTTGCATATCTAGCTGCATTGCTTAGACACACCTACTGAGTTTTACTTTGTATGATCATTGTTAGTGTATCTTGGTTTACAGTTTGTGGGCTTAGTGAATTCACTTGCTAGCTCTAGGGATTTTGGTGGTGGGTTGCTTAGGTTTTTGTACGTAGAGAATCTGTAAATAGGGAGAGGCAGTTTTATTTCTTCATTTTGAGGTTTATTTAAGTGTAGTACTAACTGTAAGATTATCAACTTGAAGGTGCCCCTGTTCTGATTTTGCTTTGGAATCACACCTTGTGATGCTCAGGAGTTAGTTCTAGCTCTGCACTTAGGACTCACTCCTGGCATTGCGTCCACGGGGGATATATGACCATACGGAATGCTGGGGATTGAACCCAGGTCAGCCTCATGCAATACAAGTGCCCTCCTTGCTGTACTATCATTTCATCCCCTCTGTTCTGATATTTTCTGAGTATTTATACCCTGTGTGTGTGTTGGGTTTTTTTTTTGTCTGATGCTTTTTTTTTTTTTTTTTTTTTTTTTGCTTTTTGGGTTACACCCGGCATTGCACAGGGGTTACTCCTGGTTCATGCACTCAGGAATTACTCCTGAAGGTGCTCAGGGGACCATATGGGATGCTGGAGATCGAACCCGGGTCGGCTGCATGCAAGGCAAACGCCGTACCAGCTGTGCTATCGCTCCAGCTCCATGGTGCTCCTCTTTTTTAATTGATGTAGTAAGTCATTTGATAAACCTTTGATTTTTTTTTTCCCAGTTTTTTTTATCAATTGATTTGGACAGTCAAGTGATACTTTCTTACTACTTAATGTGGGATTCAGTTTGCTCGTATTCAAATGAAGACAATCATCTGTCTAGCCTAGCACAGTGGTTATAAACACCTGATAACAATCAACTGACAGACTTAAAAACATTTCCAAGCCCTGTAAGGAGAGAGTGAAAGGCAGATTTGAGATGCTTGGTCACTGGCTATTGTTATGGTGTTTCCATGGCATGGGGGAGGATGTTGTTTATTCTGGGAGAGGGAACAGAGTATATATAGTCAGTACCCGTATTCTCTCCCTTCAGTCCACCAGTCCCAGCCATGCTGTGGTAGCCAATGTCCAGCACGTCTTGCACCTGATGAAGCAGCACAGTAAAATCTTGTGCAATGATCGAGTGGTCAACAGTGTTCCTTTAGCCAAGCAAATGTCTTTGCGGAGTGTTCGGAGCAAGAAATCGGGGATTCCTGCATCCTCTAGCAGTATTAATGAAGAGCTGTCCGAGGTCTTACAGACCCTGCAGGATGAATTTGGGCAAATGAGCTGGTGAGTCTTATTTTGTTTTGTGGTTATATTTAATTCTAAGACGTCTTAACTTGTGGTTGTATTGATCCTATATTGTCCATACACTTTCTTGAGCAGAGTCATCAACAACTACTTGGTAAGTTATCAGAACCTTAACAAGTACAACTGTTTGGATTAAATTTTTCCCTTTTAACATTGTTAAATGTTTTACTGACCAGGGTTTACATCTGTATTTCTGAAAGTGGGCAGCACTTTCCACCCCCAGAGGATGGTAAAATGATGAAAGGAGGCAGGTGGTGATTGTGATCATTGATACAGTGGAAGGGCCTGGGGAGGCACTGAATAATTTCCCCCACTCCCTGAAAGGGGTCATCAGGCAAATTAAGTTGGAAACTTCTGGTTTAGGTTTTAGGTTTTTTGTTTGAGAGTGTGGTTGTAAGACATTGAGTTCATCTGACCCGAACTGATCCAGCAGAATATGAGTGTGGGAGGGAGGGGGCGATTCATAAAAATCAAGACCTCTTTCTGTCTTTGCCTCCAGTGCTTTCCTGAACTGTGAAACCATTATCGAGGATTTAGATAGAAGTTGCTCATTAGAGAAAAGGCAGTTTCTGTTTAAGTGGTGAAGGCAGAGTGGTACCTGGGAGTGGTCGGGCAATGTTCAGAAAGAAGGCAGTTCTTGTGGCTGGTGCTCACGGAGCTATCTCTTGGGCCATGTGATCCAAAGCAGCCATCTTGCAATGAGTGAAATGAGGTGGATCTAATCAAAACCTGCTTTTGCTTGGACATAGTGACCATCATCAGCTTTCAAAACTTATCCAAGAGTCACCAACGGTCGAATTGAAGAACAATTTAGAGTGTGAACTAGAAGCATTAGTGGGAAAGATGGAAGCAAAAGCGGCTCAGATAACTAAAGTTCGGAAATACCAAGCTCAGGTAACTCTGGAGTTGTTTCTTTTCTAATCTAATTTCTATGATGAATGTGTTTCTATTTCTCCGAATATTAAATAACACCTAAATTCATTTTCTAACAGAACTCCAGGTATTAGTCTGCTTGTATTTATGAAAACTAATTTGTATTTATTAAGCAGTGGGCAGAGGCCCTTCAGTAGTTTCTCCCTGTGCCGGGGAGTCAGCACCAGGTTTTTTGTTTGGAGAAGTCTCCTGAGTCACTGTGACAGGTCCAGAACAATGTTGCATCCGCATCAGAGGGACTGGGGCGGTCCAGCACTCTTAGCCCACCAGGATGGACACTGCGGTGCCAGGGCCCAAGGACATGCTACTGCTTGGCTTCTATGGAGCCAGAATGCCTGCTCCTTGGGCGGGCGTCTGGCCACCCACACCCTGCCAGGAATAATCCTGAGTGCAGAGCCAGGAGTACGCCCTGGGCAGCCGGGTGTGGCTTAAAAGACAAACAAGTTTTGAATAAAGTTTAGAATCTTTCTATAGTATAAATATATTGTACTTCATTTTTCTTTGGCTGAGATTCGTTTCTAGCATGCCTTTCTCCTCTCCCCATCTATTAAAAATTTTTCTTGCTTGCCATTTTTTGTCTTTTTTTGTTGTTGTTTTTGTTGTTGTTCTCTTCATAAGCCATGACCAAGGTCACTTTTCCCTCATCCTACCTTGTGCTTTGGCAGCAGAGCCTTGACTTTTTGACTGAAGAGCAGAATGGATGTGTGTGTTCTGGTTACGTCTCCCTGTGTGTCCTTGTGCATGATCAGTGTCTTGTGTAATAGATTATTGGGGCCTTTGAAAATATAAACCCCCAATAGCTTATATTTGTTTTACAGTTGAGAGAATTAAATATACAAAAGAGAATGTTTTCATTAACTTCTCCCATTTCCCTGCTTGGGTTTTTGGGTGTAGTTCGAGAAGCAGAAGACAGAGAAGCAGAAGAAGGACTTAAGAACCACCAAAAAGACTTTTGATGAAGAAGGAAATAGCAGCCGTTGCTCTGGGATCTTAGGGACCACAAATAAGAAGGACATTGCCAAAGTGAGACCTGGAGAAAAAAGCAGGAAGAATCTTCAGTTACTGAAAGAAATGCAAACCATTCAGAATTCATTACAAAGCAGTAGTTTGTGTTGGGATTACTAACTGGTACCAGGTCATAAATTTTATTCTGAATAATCTGTACCTCATCAATCAGATATTGCCAATTTACTTTGCAGCCTCACACTCTGTGGTGTTGGGGTCACTCAGCAGGTGTTAAGGGCCCAGGCTGCATTACAGCATCATACACACATTTCTTCTGCGTCATCTCAAGTGTCCAGTGACCTGAATGGAAACCAGGGCAGTTCTGGAGGCTAGGGAGTCCCACACTCTGTTTCAGGGGAATTTGCTGTTCATATATATTGCACTTTGTAAACAAGTTAGCAATTTTTTAATTCATGGGTGTGATTTTTTTCTTTTTTTACAATAGACCTTTATACATCTAAATAAAATTAGGTTTGAATGATCAAACTATGAGGCTGTATCAGAGGCAGTGCTTGCTTGGAAAGTCTCATTTTTAAATCTCCCCTGGTGTGACTTCCCCAATTCTCCTGTCTAGTTTAACCATTGCAGGTACTTTGTTTCAGCTGTTGGTGGTTTTCTATATTTAAATATTTATACATATTTAAGAGAATTGTTTGCTTTTTCACATTTCAAACATTGATCAGTATTAGATGTACCTATATTGATTTTAATCTCTTACAATTTTTAGAAGTACTTAATCACTTTAAGCCAATTAACTGTGGAAGTTATAACAATATTTTTAAAAGTAAACAAAATGAAGTAAAAGAGATTTTGGAATGAAGAGAGAAGGGTATTGTAAACACATTTACTATTTTTTAAATCTGTAATCATGCTACTCGATTCACTCAATTATGGTTTTAAATTTCAAAACTTTGAAGAACCTCTTGGATATTTTCTTTTATTGATACTCAGTATGAGTGTACTTTTATCTGTACATGTTCTATTGTCATCATTTTAGTGTGTCAAATCTTTGACTAGATCGACATGTCAACTTTTTATTTGCCACTTAAAAGTCAATAAAGCAGTTTTTGTAAGATAACACTGAAATTTTCCTTAGACGGCCTGTTACTAAAGGCTTTATTTGTTGTAACCTAAAAATAAATGAATTTATAAATAGCACATTAAGATTATGAGGAATAATTAGGACTTTTGGAATGTAGTATATACTTTACTTGTATTTATTTTGCTTACAAGTTTTTGTGCTTGGGTTTCAGTTATACAATGATCAAGTACCCATCCCTCCACCAATGCCCATTCTCCACCACCACTAATCCCAGTATCCCTCCCACCCCTCATCCCCCCATCCAACCCTGCCTCTGTTGCAGGGCACTCCCTTTTGTTCTCTCCTTTTGGGTGCTGTGGTTTGCAAAAGAGGAATTGAGTGGCAATCATGTTCAGTATATAGTCTACTTTCAGCATGCATCTCTCGTCCTGGGTGGATCTTCCCAACACCCTTTATTTGGTACTTCCTTATCTATCTGAGCTGCCTTTACCCCTAGAGTGTGCGGCTGGCCTCCAAGCTATGGTGTAAGCCTCCTGGTATTTATCTCAGCTATTCTTGGGTGTCAGTCTCCATTTTGTTACTTTATGTTCCCCAGATGAATGCAATCTTTATCTATGTCTGTCCCTCTCTTTCTGACTCATTTCACTTAGCATACTTTCCATGTAGTACCACTTATATGTAAATTTCATGACTTCATCCTTTCTAACAGCTACATAGTACTCCATTGTGTAGATTACTAAAGTGGTCCTGTAATTCTTGTGAGCTTTTTCATTGTCTGATTCTCATTTACTTGAGTCTCACAATTTGTTGTGAGATGTTACTAGTGCCCGCATGAGCAAATCGATGAACAGTGGAGGACAGTGCAGTGCAACAGTATGGCTATCCTTCATTTCCATGTGCTTTGAATACTGTTCTTTTCTTTGAACCTGTTTTTTAGAGCTCAAGTAAATTTTCTGTAGGTTTACATATTGTTTTATCTTATTTTATCCATCCAGCCACTGTCTTTCCATTATTAAATCAATTCACTTACTGATAACAGGTAAGGATTTACTACAAAATTTCAAAGACTTTTTGCCATGGATGGATGGATACTGGTTATTTTGTATCCATTGAGGTTTTTATTAGTTCACTCCTGGCAGTGCTTAGGATCATATGAGGTGCTGGGGATTGAGCCCAGGTTGGCTGTGTGCAAGGTAGACACCCTATCCACTGTACTCTCTCTCAAGCCTCCATTTTTCCTTTTTCTAAGTTCTTTAGGCAGTCTGCTGTGCCAGTTTTTGGCTTCTAGTTTGCATTTTGCTGAACGATTACAATTAGATTTACCAGTCCATTTGTCTTCATTTGTCTGTAAAGGCTGCATCCTTTTAGTTTTTGATGGCATAAATTCTCCATATACTGCAACTCCTCTACCACTTTGTATTTATTCTTTTTTAACCTTTATGTTCAAGTTGTTTAAAAACTTGTTACAGTATTGTATTAATTAGACTTGTGTGCCTTTCCTCTTGCAGCTTGAAGAGCTCCCAAGTGCAGCCTTGAGGTGGTGAACTCCCTTGCCTTTGGTCTGAGTAAGCCTTTCTTTTACCCACTTGAAAAATAACATTGTCAGAGAAAGACTTTGTTTTGTTTTCTGTCTTTCCAAACAATGTCTCTCTCCACTCTTCTGGCATGTAGAGTTTCTGGTGGTAGCCAAAAAGGGTGCCTTTGTAGGCTACTGTGCATCTTATTCATCATCATGAACACTGACAGCTCTGATGCAGGGTGTCATGGAGAAAGAAGTCTTTGAGTACACCTGCTGGTGTACTCAAAACATGGAAAAAAAATTGTTTTCTTGTGGTTTCCTGTCACCATGGTCCATCCTGGTGGTTGATACAAGTGTCCTGTCTGAAGTGTGAGCACATCTCTCACCAGCTGAGGCTGTGGCCCTCATGCCTTCCTTTTGATGTCCACTGTTCCCCAGGAAGTGGCATTAATAGACCAGGGCTTGGTCTCTGCCAGTGTTCATAGGCTCTGCTTAAAGCTGTGGGAGAGCACAAGAGAAAGGAAAGGAAAGGGGAGGGTGTTTCTGGAGTTATGGGGGATCCCCCAATGGAGCCCTGCAGCAGGTGCCAGCATCCTTTCCTCTGCCTCGTCCCCAGTCATCAATGCTCCTGAGAACCACTCCTCTCGCGCTGCTACAAGCCTGGTGGGCCAGACCCTCCTTGTGCCCTGGGTTCTCTCTACTATCCAGCGTACCGTGCCCTTGTGCTGCTATTGGCCTTTTGTTATTGGTGATGCCAAGTGATAGATCAGAATTTGCTATACTGGATGAACTTTTAGGAGTCTTAAATCCTTACTGATAGAGCAAGATTATAGTTTAACAAGTGGTGGTGGTGGTGGGGAAATATTTGAGTCTTAAACAATTTTTAAACAAGAATTAAACAATTCTGACTGAATACTTAGGGTTACCCCATCCCCCTAAAAGTTTCCAAATAATATAAAGGAAAACATAGGACAAATAACTTTGGAAAGTCAATTGGAATTTTCTTTTAATTGTAATTACAAACCTAGGAGACATTCATAGTACATGACCAGGGCCTTTTGTCGGGTCAGCAGCCAGCAGGGAGCATGCTGCTATTGGGCAGCACAAATTCTTCCAGGGTGGGCAGTGAGATGGTAACGCCCACAGGCAGGAAGTTCTTTGGTAGATCAAATCATTCCATGGAATGATATCATGGACAAAGGAAGAAGTAGGAAAAAGAAGTATCGTAAATGTAAGCTGTATTAAACAGACTTCAGGAAAAAGGCAACAGAAAGTGGGTGCGTTAGTTTGAACCCCCCCCCCCCATGGTGTTTCTAGTAACTGAGCAAAGGGAAACTATTCTGAAGGATGTGGAATTCTCTGAGTTCCTAGACAGCTAGCACCTACTTAAATAAGTACATAAATAGTGGCAATTAACTCCAACTCCTGTTCTATGTAGTGTCTCAAGGCTCTGCCTTTTGTAATCAGGACACGGGTGTGTGGGGAGCGTGCTCCAGGTGTCTCCCTGCTCACTTCCCTCTGCAGAAGAGGTGTGTTTCTGAGTAGTTTCTCTTATAAGCTTACCAGACATCATTTCCTCATGGTCCCAGAATTTTAATAATCATTGGGGGTGGGGGGTCGGGGGGAATGACTTTGATGTGTCCTATTCAGGTTCACATGGGGTGCTGCTAGAGTTCTAAACACATAGATGATCAGAAATAAATAGGCGTGAAACTGCCACTGCAGTCCAGTCTGTGGCAACATCTTCAGTGTCCTTCAGACCACAGTCTGCACAGGTGTGACACACTGCGCGGGGGGGCTGGCCCTCTCGGAGGATGAGGTGGATCGGTTGGAGATCTCTCTCTGTAGTTCCTCAACCTTCTTCTGGAGCTCTGCTCGCTTAGCCAGAAGTTCTTTATATCTGTTGTGAATGGGCTCCTATGAGAGCAGAACAGGACAAAGTTCAGCAAGGGAATCATAAAACCCATAGATACTGCCCAGTGCCCCAACAGTTCTGTGTAAATATTCGGAGACATTTTCAGAATATTCAGAGGAGAGACAAAATATCCAGTCAACCAAGTTTTAGAGAGGCAGAGTTTTCTCAGACTGGATGGGGGAACAGAGTGGAACATACCTGTGGTTTCATCCGTGGGTTCCACCTCACATAATAGCCCACCCAGAGCTCCAGGTGGCGCATGCTGGCTACTGGGTAAAGGACGTGATTGGAGTAGCTGCCGTAGAGAGGGTTGCTGAAGTCCTCCGGCTGGCTGTTCACATATGACCACAGCGACACAGTTCTTTTGGGGAGATTCTGTAAGAAAGAAATTGCCTTGGCCATGTGACTTTAGCAGATCTTAGTGACCATTACAGGGAGAGCACCTGTGCCCAGTGGGGGCAGAGAAAGTACCAAAAGAGCAGTGGGAGATTCTAGTGAAATCCTAGAGAGCAAATGCACTGACAGGATAAACAGGTGCAGGATTCGATCTGTTCTAAACTTAAAATAAGGTGGTGACAGTCAGACTAAAACATTGGGCCTTTCAAGAGACACAGACACCCACAATGATCTGAGCTCAGTCAGATGCTGCTGCTCCTACTCACCCAGTAATAGTGATCACTGCCTCTGGGAACAGGCTGACTTGATAGGCTCTCTCTTCAGGGCTATTTTGTATAACTCAGACTTATACATACGTTTAGATATAATTCTTTTGGGATGTTGTAGCGACATTTGGAAAGTTTCCTTGCTGCAGTCAGAGCTACTTCCAGATAAATCAGGTTCAGATGGATGGAAATAACTATATCACAGCACGTAAAATATGCTCCCCTAAAAGAACTAGTTAATTGAAATCCATCTCTATAGGCAAATTAGATTTTAGAGGGGGCAGGTCTTGTATTTTACCTCCTTTCCTCTCTGCTGTTCACTGTTACAGAGAAATGTTCCAAACAAACAGCTATACAGGTGGTCCAAAATGGTGATGAGGAAATACTCATTGAACTCAAATGCAGTGGGAAACTGAAAGTGAAACAGGACATATTGAGACAGTTTCTGAATATAATTCTCCCTGTATTTGTACATACTTCTACGCCCTCACAGCATCATCTACCTGGCTTTTTGCTTAGAGATATTATGCACCAGATTTTAAGGAAAATTTACTAAACAGAAAAATCATTCTGCCTTTAAAGAAACATGAATCATATTTGAATTGCAGTTTTTGTCTCTTAGAATGAGTTGTATGCATGAACTGTAGGGCATGAACTGAAAGGGAAAAGAACTCTAGATGGATATATTTTCTTGAAACTTCCTGAATTAGATGAGGCAACTGCTATCCTTAAATAGTAATTCTTATGGCTGTGAAATTGAGTGAATAAAGTAATTAGCACATGCCAACAACAAAATACTAGTTAATACTGTCAAATCTCATTATTTCATCTCCTGTATTGTTACATGCAAACAGCTGCCCAGAGCATTTGCTTTTTCTTCTGGACATCTCTTAACTGCTGGTCAGAGAAATCCTGGTCATCTTATTCTTATATATTTCAGGTTTCCAGGACTATAAATTAATTACAACACAGTGATTCTCATCTTGATAAATGTGCTATTTAACATCATAAAGAATGCACAGAAACCATAACGAAATGTCTAAATTCTAAATGTCTAAAATCAGATATACAACATATAGAAAGTTAACACAATTCATTTTCTCTTTATTCCTCATATGCAAACAACTCACAAATGGGTAGACATTTTCCCCTAAGAAACATACCAGAGCACTGGAGGGATTGTACAGTGGGTAGGGTGCTTGCCTTGCACATGCTGACCTGGGGTTTGATCCCCAGATTCCCACTGCCAAGAGTGATTCCTAAATGAAGAGCTAGGAATAACCCCTGACCACCACCAGATGTGGCCCAAAACAGAACAAAAGGGAGGGTTGGAGGGAGAGGGGGACCCACCAGAGCTAGTATAAGACCATATACACTGGCTGCCCCTTTGAGGAGCAGTTTCCTGAAAAGCTGTCAGCCCTGTTTCAAATAAGTAATTACTGGTAAATTTCTGTAGTGCTGGTAATCTCCAATGTTGTTACAAAGGAAATAATCCACATCTATTCTAGAAACAAGCATTTACCTACACAGTATCTCCCTTTACCAAACATACCAAGAGCTTAACCTGTGAAGTCAGAACTGGATCTACATAGTTCCAGCAGCCATAGTCATCACCTACTACAGCATTTCCTCAGACTTTCTCTGGCTCTTTTCAAATGATCAGCCACGTTGAAATGCTTAAAGGGGTGTCACTATTGTTTCTTTTATTGAATTAACTAGTATTTTTGTTTTGTTTTGTGGGCACTTCTGGCAGTGTTTGGGGGGAGCAGAGAGTATATGAATTTACCTATGTCAGCCGCATGTAAGGCAGATGCCCTACGCACTGTGCTCTTGTTCCAGAATGTGGCAATATCACGAAAATCAGTTTAGAGTAGTCTGACGTCTAACAATAAGCCCTTGGATAAACCCCAATGAACTATGTCTAACTAGTAAGGTTTTAAATGATTTTTCTTATAATGTTCTTAAACATGGTTTGCAATCTTTGTTGCATTCTTTCTGAAAAGGTCCATTTTTATTATTTTAAATAAACAAGAAAAATTGCTACTTTTGAAAGACAACCCCAGACAAGAATTGAATATATTTCATATTGTGTCTTAATTTTCATCTGAACACATTTTTTATTAGAGTTATCTAAACAGAAATTTACCTTGCTTGATTGACCACATCAGGCAAAACTAAGTGATTTATGTATTTCTTTACCTCCCTCTACATGAGCTGGATAAATATACTACCATTTTCCAAAGCAAAGGAAGAATTTCTGGACTCATGGATCAAGCTGTCATGCTGATACTACTTCCAAATACAACTTAATTTATTGTGTAGTAATAAAGGGGAGGCAATCACACTATACCTAGAAACCCTACACACATCTTAATTTTAAATGAATCAGAATAATCACTGACGAAATTTCTAAACTCCGAGTTACCTGTCTTGTCATCTGCCAGACACAGTCGATGAACTGCAGGAAGACTGGTGACCGGTCTGCATCTGCGTGGTTCTTGTCTCCATGGCCAAGTCTCTAAAGCCAGAGAATGAGATATGTAACATGAGCTTTGTGGAAATTATCACTTTTTAAAACTTTAACCACTTTCCAATAACCAACAGTTGCTCAATGTTTAATATTCAGCACATTTTTTTTGAAGAACCTTGCACAGGATGTAGAAGTGCTACCCAACAGAAACTGACATCCTGACAGGTGATCTGACCTGAAGTGGCTCTGGGAATGAAACTTGTGAGAGGGTGTGAGCACTGCCATCCAGTGACAGGCACAGACCCCAGCAACTGCAGGGCTCCTCGCTCTGTGCGACACACCTGAGCCCCTGATGTCTGAGACAGAGCCTCTTCACTCCCAACAGGGGCTTCGGAGAGTGGAGCAGGTCTCTAGTCAGAGCTGTTTCCCCAACAGTATTGACATGCACTGAAAGTACGAGTGAGTCAAGGTCACAACTCCCGGGCCACTCACCAGAACTGGTTTCTGCCCTGGTGAGCTCATGTCTTTGAAGCTACTTTACTTTGATGAAGCAGGCAGTCTATGGCATCAGTCTCAAAATGATTTTGTATCCTAACACAACAATAGGCGCTTTTGTGCTCCTGCATGCTTACGCAGGATAGGAGACACCATTTTCTTCTATTTCAATACTGTCACTGTCCTCCCATTGTTCATCGATTTGCTCGAGCGGGCCCAGTAACGTCTCCATTGTGAGACGTTACTGTGTTTGGCATACTGAATATGTCATGGGGAGCTTGCAGGCACTGCTGTGCGGGCAAGATACTCAGTAGCTTGCTGGGCTCTCCAAGAGGGGCGGAGGAATTGAATCCGGGTTGGTTGGGTCAGCAGCGCACAAGGCAAAAGCCCTACTGCTGTGCTATTGCTCCAGTCCTATTTCAGTACCCACCAGAAATGCTAGCGGTGTCCTTTGGCTGATACTAATACAGCCTGTCATCTGGAAATCAGCATACAGACGAAGAGGAGGCTGGGCCAGCTCTCCCCATCAGCCCTTACTTGAATGCAGTGCCCAGTAAGAGCTGAAGCTCCTGAGTCAATCAGTGCAGACAGGCTGCTCCTAGCACTGGCCTTCAGGAGAGGCCCACCAGACCCAAAGTCCAGGTCTATTACTCACAAGCTGAAAGCGATGCCCGAAGCTGAGCCATTCCTTCTCCACGAGGACTTGGAAGCCCCGCAGGGTCCGGTAGTAGCCGTCCAGCATGAGCATGGCCAGGGATGTGAGCTGTGCCGTGCGGTCCCAGCCATCACTGCAGTGCACCACCACTGATGTCTTCCCTGACTCTACCCTGTCTGCGATCCGAAGCGCCCCCGCGAGGATCAGCTGCAATGGGTTTTTGATATTTGAAAAAGACAGCTAACTTTTTTAAGAGGAATAATCTTAGTACATCTAGTAGGAATCTAGTAGCATCTCTCCCTTTTTAGAAGGACCAGGGTCAACAGTAGAAGAAATAAGTTGTTTATAATGAGAGTACAGTGGGGAGGGTGCTTGCCTTGCATGTGGCCAACCCAGATTTAATTCCTGGCACCCCATGTGGTCCCAGGAACCCTGCCAGGAGTGATCCCTGAGTGAAAAGCCAGGAATAACCCCTGAGCATCGCTGGGTATACCTCACTCCCTTCTTACCCCCCCTCAAATGAGAAAGATTTCTCAAATGCAGATTCCTAGTTATTTGTCCAGGAGTAGTTAAGAAGAGCTATCTGAGGTCTAAATACATAGTAGAGTGGGGAGGGCGCTTGACCTATACACAGCTGACCTGGGTTCAATCCCAACACCCCAGATGGTCCCCCGAGTGATCACTGAGAAGTGCTGGGTGTGGCCCCCTAAACAAAACTAAATGATCAGCATAAGTTAGAAGAAATCTTTGAAAGAAAGTATAAACATTTACCATTAGACCTGACTGGAAAGATGGGACAGGAGTAAATATGGCTTGCATGCACTCTAGCTGAGGCCCACCAGGAATGATCTCTGAACACCACTGGGTATGGCCTCAAAAAATCCAAACGTCTACCATCTTCCAAAGCATAAGCTTACAGCCCAGTTCTGCAGGGGTTCTCAAGGAGGACCAGTAGGCTTGTGTGACCCTTGTCGTCATAGCATAGAAGTGGTGTCCACAAAGGCCATTCATTGTCTGGAGGAGAAAAGTCCCTTCATCCTGGCCCCCATGCTCACAGACGTGGGGCAGGCTCACCTTGATATGTTCAAGCCAGTGTGTAGATTCCAAGTTGGACAACCAGTGAGTTTCCTCAATGTTGGGGTACACGATCTCCTTGAGCTTACGTAAGGACTCTCTCATCACGTGGATATTGTGGATATCCAGAAACACCAGCTCTGCGTTTTGGTATGCGTCCTCGCTTTCATATCCTCCACCCTTGGCCTGAAGATGGAGGCCCAGTACAGGCCATGGTGAGTGAACACACAACGTTGGCCCCTCAGTGGGAAGGGCGTGCACACAAGCACCAAGTCCCCTGCTCCACCCGCCAGTCCCTGGGATAGTGGGGAGACAAAGCCACTACGGCATCCCAGACTCCAGGAAACCTCATGGCCCCAAAAGGCACAGCAAAGGGTGAGTCACTCCACACAAGCTGCATGCTCAGTGGCCTACAGAACACCACCTAACACTGATGCTCTGTGACAGAAGGCAAACTTGAGGGCTGGTGTGAAGAAATTAGGACCCAGAACAAGGGAACATTCCAGAGAGTAAAAACACAAAAATGAAGACAAAGCAACAGGCGGCACAAGAACAGAGTACCGAGTCACTGAAAAGAAATGGACAATGAGAGGATTTCCCTCTTGTGAACGAGACACGGGAGGCCACATGGGGCCCTCACCTTGTTGGCCACGGCATTGACGCTTGGCCTCGCATCGAAGATGAAGATCTTGTGGGACTGGGCGTTGGAGTCCATGATGGCCTGCAGGTACTTCTCATCGTCTTTGCTCCGCTTGCCGCTCACACCCACTAGTGGCTGGCTGCAGCGTGTGATGGTGGCTTGGCTCTCAGGGTGGATCCAGGACAGAACCTTCCAGAAAATAACACTATTCCTGTTCTACTTCCCCAGGTAGTGACACTTCCTGACCTAACTCTTACATCTGGCTCTCGCTTGGCCTCCCACGGTGGCCAGGACAGGAGCTCAGGGCAGCCTGAACACATACTTTCTTCGAAGCTTGGTCAGAGCCTTCCATCAGCTGTGGGGGGCCCCAGTCACTAAGTGGGGAAGAAAGCATGGCAGGGAGTCCAGAGGCTCCACTGCACATTCTCTCCCCAGCGGGCGGCTCTGCGCCCAGAGTCACTAACTGATCCTAAGTCTGTCAAGGTCTGTCTCTAGGGTTCCAAGAGAAAGAACATTTGTCAGCATGGCCCAGGGCCTCAAAGAGCAAGAAACAGCAACTCCATTTTGGAGTCGGGGGTTGTGCCGTTCTGCACAGTCCCCTAGAATCCATGGAACTCTCTAGAAACCTCTAACTTAACCAAAGCATGTTCTCCAGTTTAAATTTACAGAAGAACTCAAGTCTTTGCCACTGCATATAAGACCTGCTGCTGGGGGCCAGAGTGAGGACAGGGTTTACAGCACAGCCAATCCTGAGTCAGTGCATGGTGCCCTCCCCCCTGAGCACCACCAGGTTGACCCAAGGTGGATGACCTTCCACCCGCTGCAAGTATTGCTGGGGCCAGAGAGAGAGTACAGGGGTGAAGGCATATGCTGCCGGTTTGCTCCTGGTACCATATGGGAAGGACTAAGAAACATGGTGTGGCCCAGGTAAGTCTGGCCCCCCTGTGTCCGTGATCACTGCCACATAGCGAACCACTGGCCAGGTGGACACTCCCAGCAGAAGCAGCCCCTGGGTTCCCTAGGCAGTGCTTGGGACCCTCCCCTAAGAGCAGAACAAAGGCCTAATTGCAGCCTGGAAGCAGCAGCAGCTCTGCCCGCCTGCACACACTCACTGGGATCCGGCCCCGGGACCGGAAGGCAGCCACTCTCTTCAGCTCTTCATCAGGAATATTAGCTGGGACAACCAGGAGGGCAGGGTATGTATCACAGAGCTCGTAGCGCTCATTTATCCTTGTGACCCTCCAGCTCTCATTTGGAATTCCCTGTGTGGGACATCAAACACAAGACAAATATTATATAACCTACAAAGGCAGAAGATGGACCCCGGCCCTGCTTTCTCTCAGATTGCTGGAAACAGCCCTATCCTGAGGTGAGCAGCTGTCAGGCTCAGGAGCTCCAATGTCAGGGTCTGTGGTCCAGCCAGCACATCTCTGCAGCTGACAGACACACAGAAATCCTGCCATAGGATGCCATGCCCCACCTTGACCAAGAATTCTGTAAATTTGGATTTATACCCTGGAAGAGGGGCTGGAGCGATAGCACAGCAGGTAGGGCATTTTCCTTGCAAGCGGCCAACATGGTCTACCCAAGTTTGATTCCTCTGCCCCTCCTGGAGAGCCCAGCAAGCTACCGAGAGTATCTCACCCGCACGGCAAAACCTGGCAATATGCCAAACACAGTAACAAGTGTCACAATGGAGACGTTACTGGGCCCGCTTGAGCAAATCAATGAACAACGGGAGGACAGTGACAATGACAGTGACCCTGGAAGAAATTTCAGCAGATACCAAGTGCCCACCGAACGTACAAACTCAAGTGAACTATCTCACCCGTGGGGCAGGCCTAAACAACCTGAGCTCACTGAAAACACGGCAGCCAGGGGTTAAAATAGAGGCAAGGAAATGAAATATTCAAAACAATTTTTTAAAAATAATGAGCAGCTCTGAAGTTGTCATTGTTCCTTCAAGACTGCTCGTATCTGACTCCACAGAAAGGATGCAGCATGAGGCCTCCAAAACTCCCATCTGCACCAGGAAAGAAAACCCCAAGAATAAAGGATTGGAGTAAAGCATAGGCACATTTGTACCCATGTGCACACGCACGCACACAGGGTCAGAGAGACCCACTGATTGGGGATCTACCCTGCAAGCGCAGCACCTACACAGCTTCTCACCCACACGCACACACATGGGGTCAGAGACCCACTGACCGGGGATCTACCCTGCCAGCACAGCACCTCCACAACCTCCCACCCACACAGGCATGCACTTCTATGTGCTTGATTTCTTCACTTCATAAACGGCTGAGATGGAGGCGGACATGGCACAGTGATGAACCCTCGGGCCCCCGCCATGGCTAGTCACCCCTCTCAAAGGCCTGTGCTCAGCAGCAGGCATCTGCCACACTGGGTGTCTGCCCTGGTCATTCTGAATTTGGGTTTCTGTATTAGAAAATCCCTTAATGGTCTCTACAAATGCTTGACTTTTAGCTCTTTGTCCTGTAGTCAGTCTCTGCCAGAATATATAATTGTACTCGATACAAGTACTGAGCAGTAACTCAGTTTGGGGGCCAGAGCTGTCACCCAGTGGGCAGGGCGCATGCCCGGCACGCAGCCAACCTAAGCTGGATCCCAGCATCCCACATGCTTCCCCGAGCTTACCAGGAATGACCCCTGAGTGCAGAGCGAGAAATAGCTTCCAAAGCAAAAATAAAAAATAAACTCAGTTTCTTGTCATTGAGTTTATTTTTTTTTTATAAAGTTTAGCATTCTAGTGATAGTATTCTACTTTTCTTGGCTTTGTGAAACAAAGCTAAGTAGATGAGCTTTGTCATTACAATGCTAGATTTGAAATCTAAATATTAAAATAATGACTTAATGATTTTAAGACTTGAATTTTAGAAAACCCAGATATCAGATATATTGATTTCTAAGAACACGAGTGAAATTCTCAGGAAAGCACAGTCAGTTGTGGAGCCTGGATGGGGCAGGCTGGGGAGGAGCATGCTGGGAAGGGCTGGGGTTGTGGGGGGTAGGGGGGTTGTTTACAAGACCTAGGTCTGCTCTCATCCCACTTTGGGGTGATGAACCTCCTTAAACTTCCAGAACAATCAAACCCACACTATCCAGAGCACCACTGCCTCTAGACACAGACTTGGAATTTCCTATGTGAGTGCCATCTGTGACGTAGAAGGTGACCTAGGTTTTACACAGAAATAAGTTCTAAGCAGTAGGACTAGGAAGCTTTTTTCAAAATTAAATAGAGACCCCAAAGAAAAAAGCCTGAATTTTCACTTAGATGGCTTACACAAATACTAAAACATTAAGATACCAATCATTTTGAGGGGGATAGGAATGCCTGGAATCAAACCGGGCCTTACAAGTAAGGCCTGAGCTTTGTCACTGACCTATGTAGCACTGTATGTAGCACTGTCCTCCCATTGTTCATCGATTTGCTCGAGTGGGCCCAGTAACGTCTCCATTGGAGACTTTGTTGTTACTGTGTCTGGCATATCGAATACGTCACGGGGAGCTTGCCAGGCTCTGCCGTGCGGGCGAGATACTCTCGGTAGCTTGCCAGGCTCTCCGAGAGGGGCGGAGGAATTAAATTCAGGTCAGCCGGGTCGGCAGCGTGCAAGGCTAATGCCCTACCCGCTGTGCTATTGCTCCAGCTCGTCACTGACCTATATCCCATTTTATTATTATTATCATTATCATTGTCATTATTATTTTAGTTGAATTACCACGAGACCATCACAAAACTACTCATGGTGGAGTTTTAGTCATACAATGATCTGACACTCATCCCTCTACCAATTTCCCACCACCAATGTCAGTTTCCGTCCCGCCACCCTCCTGCCACTCCCATTTTATTCTTATCTTTTTTTTTTAACTAAGCAGTTTTTAAAATAAGCTGACTTGCACATAAACTTAGAAAAGATTCATAAAAGATAGCTGGCATAGTTCGAAGAGCTGCTTAAAGTGAAAGGCAGGCAAAAAGAATTAATAATCAAAATTCGGCTTCATTCAAACACTGAAAGCTCACAGCAGCATAAAGCTGCCTCCTTCCACGCACAAAGTGTCTGCTGGGACAAGAAGGACACAGAGCATTAAAGCTGAACAGAGAGAGGTACATACCTGCCTTTTGTACTCTAAAAGGGGGTCGTAGAGCTTCCACCCATTTTCAGGAAACTCCTCTTTGTATTCAAATGCAAACAAAGGCTACAAAAAAGAAAAGGGTCAGAAGCTAGAGACAAAGCTGAGGCCCTGCTGGGAATAGAAGCCCCTTTCCCAGGATGTACTGGCGCTGTTGCTTTGGGGTTTTGAAAACACCTTTTTCCCATCATTGAAAGCATGAAGGGCTCCCCCCAGCCCGAGGGAACCCATCACGTTTCTGGGGGTCAGAGAAGCACACGAAGGGATTCTGCCCTAAAGCCCCCATGCCCACGGAGACTCGGTGCCCCGCTGAGGAGTGTCTTAAGCGTGCTCAGACGTGAGCAGCCTGCCTGCCTCCCTCTCCACTGCATCTGGTTCCACAGCAAGGCAGAAACAAACATGGAGTCTGGAGAGCCAGATCAGACTCTCCACCGTGCCGGTGAGTCACACGGAGTTTTCAAATGTCTTACCAGGTTATTAGAGACGGGAAATGCGTATTTCATGAGATTCTCAAAAATGGATCTTCTCGTTCGTCCTTCAGGCTTATGAGCAAACCGTAAATTTCGAATATCCTGTTAGAGATTGAGGATCCAAGTCATCGATCAGTGTCTGTCTGCTTTTGTCCAACTGAGTGAACTTAGAATGAGCCTGTATGTACTGAGCGGCTAGGGCACAGAAGGGCAATGGGCACCTGCTCACGGGTACAGGAGACTGGGCACAGCCTGAAGCTTGGTACCCTGATGGGTGCTGGGCCAGCACACTTCCTTTCCCTGGACGCTCTGGGTGCATCCTGGCTCCTGGCTGTGGGAAATCATTCTCGCTCCTGTGCCTCCCCAGGGTCCTGGCCACTGGCCCTTCCCTCTGTGACGGCAGGCCTCTTCATGGCACAGCTGCTGGCAGATGGACTGAGTCGCCTGCCCAGGGTAGGCAGGCCGCACACAGATCCAAACACCAGTGCTCATTCCCTTCTGTTATTTGCCCTCTGCTGTTTTCTTATATGAGGGCTGGCTGTAGACAGCTTCTGGAATGACTGAGAGTTTAATAAGTAATAAAAACTGAAATTAAGAAGAATTTCTGGGGCTGGAGAATACATGAGTAAGGTGCTTGCCACCCAGGTGCGATCCCTGGGGCTGCACAGGGAGCGCCAAGACAGGTGGGCGTGACCCCGGGCACCAGCAGGAATGTGCAGTGAAGCTCGGGGGAGGAGGTAGCCACAGCAGCAGGATGAGTGCTGAGCACCTGGGGGTTGGCCCTGGTGGCCTGAGAACCCGAGTTGGCCTGAGTTGGGTCCTAATGCCCAACTCTGCCATCACGGGTGTCCAGTTCCATAGGGAGGGAGCCTGACGTTAAGCAGAATTCAAAATGGTTCTAAAACTCTCCATCCTGCCTGATGGCTCCCAAACACCCCACCATGCCCAAAGAAACAGGCCTCGCCCACATCCTACCTCTAGGGCACTCAGTTCACTGAGTCAAATCAGCAGCGGGCTTCTGATCTTAAGCACGCCAGAGAATCAGAGGGTCCACACAAATGTTTGGTTTACTGACATGGAGCTCATTCCACAGGGAATAAAGCTTTAAAATGATCAGATCAAGACGGGCTGGAGTGACTTTGACAGAAGGGAGTGTGCTTGCCTTGTACTTGGCTGACCGGGGTTTGATCCCCGGCACCCAGTCCGGTCCCCCAAGAACTTCCAGAGTCCTCCCAGAGTGCAGAGCTGGAGTAAGCCCTGAGTACCACCAGATGTGGTCCCCTCCCACCAAAAAAAAATTTTTTTTGACATGTCAGGGTCCTTCTGGCTGTACTAGAAGACAAACTCTGAAGACAAGCCTAAGAAAGTGCCCTTCAAGCTGCCAGGAGGCCAGAGGGAGGGAAAGGGGCTCAGGATGGGGCTGAGCAGGCTCCCGAACAGACAGGAGAGGTGTGACAGCTGTGGAACTGTGAGCACGTCCCTCACACGTCATGTCTGGGTGCTTCAGCAGCAGACTTTGCCAGTGATCAGAGAAGTGACTTTGCCCGTGACCAGCTCGGCCACGGAGATGCATGTGCCCCTTGGGAAAGCAGTGCGAACCGCCTGCCACCGACCATGGGCTTCTGGGGTGCCACCTGGGAATACGGGCCCCAGCGCACTGGGCACCACTGGGCACCGTGGAAACACAGAAGGTAGCAGCAGCTATCTGCTTCCTGCCCTGCCAACTCTCCTGCTGCCTCAGGGCCGGTGTTTCCGGGGTGAGCCCCAGCGAAGCAGGGTCCAGACAGCACCGTGAGGCAGCCACTCACCTTGCAGGCAGTCTCCAGGCCATACGAGTTCTCGCCGCGACTAGAGGCGCCACCAATTTTCTCTACTCGGCTTATCACCCCGAGGGAAGCATCTAGAACAAATGGGGGATCCTAAGGAAGGGAGGGAGAAAAAAGTTACAACTATGCAATTCAAAGGACAGTGCTACCCCCCTCAATTTTTTTAATTAAAAAATTACTTTTGGCTCCGTTTGGGGGCCACACCTAGTGGTGCTCAGGGGCTATTCCTGGCTCTGGGCTCAGGGACTGTACGTGCTGCTAGAGATTCAGACCAGGGTCACAGCCCTGCAAGCAACATACAAGGCAAGTGCCTTGCTGCACTGTCTGGGCCAGCCTCGAGATGTGACAGGGCTGTGTCCAGAGACACTGGCCCTGAGATGGGGCAGAGGGCAGAGGGCATCAGCACAGAGGCCTGGGCCCACCCAGCAGGACTTACCCGGTCCACACTCTTGAAGTAGAGCCTGTAATTGGTGACAGTCAGAGTCCCTCGCACGGCCCCCGTGAATGGACAGATGTACGTGACATCTTTGGCTGGAAAGGCAAAGGGCACAGTTTGGACTGGGCATTTCGGACAATGCCACCTGCTCTCCCAAGACAGATATGCCAGAATGCGGATTCCTGCCTCACTCCAAAACCACAGACCAGACACTCAGAGACAGAAGCCCAAGGCCAGCTTCTGTCACAGTTCCCAGGAGGCTGGCTGAGAAGAGGGACCCTGCAGGCCCGAGCTAGGTGCCAAGTGGGGATGGCGGGTCCGGGAAGAAGGGTAGAGGAAGGTGGTGATGTGGCCAAGCAGAGGGATTTAGAATGCAAGGAGTGGGGGTGGGGTGACGGGAGTATGTGACGGGCACATAGTGATGGGCACAGTGTGGTTAGAGCACACAGTGACGGCTCACACAGTGATGGCGGGGGCTGTTACAATGGTTGGGGTAGAGAGTGGTGACAGAATGGCAACAGCAGTAACAAATGTCCCAAGTCTCAGTCTCCAGTGATGTTATCAGCAACTCTACACAACACCCATCTGCAGGCAGCTTCTGGCCACCATCTAGTTTGTCCACATTCCACTAAAGATAACCAACCATGAAATACTCCTGGCCTGGTTATATTTATGGAGAAAATACGGTACAGAAATGTATAAGAAATACAATTTGGGAAATTAATAGTGTAAGAAAGTTTTCACTTCTTGTCCAAACAAGCAATGCCAAACTAACTCTGACGCGAAATAATCCAGCATTGTTTTACTAAACAAGAGACGACATACAGGTTATGTGCTTTTTAGAAATCAAATAGGGTCACTCGACTACACTAGCACTCACAGTATTTAATATGGTAAAGCTCATAATGTGCAATGCGAAGGGTTATTTAAAATATTCATCAATCCTGTTACATCATTATTGTGGTAAGTCAGCAGATAGAGGAATATGATCATTCTGTGGAAGTGAGAAGCAATTTGGAGCAGGAAACTTCTAAGACCCTTTCGAGGGGCTCCTGGGAAAACACGGAGACATGAAATGTGTTTCATAAGGTCTTACAAGTCCCTGAATGCTTCTAAACATCACTCTGAAGGGCTGGTTGCTTTGTATGGAATTTGAAATGAGGCGAATCTTTTAAAAGACATTTCTCACCTTCAAAATGATTCCCTTGGGAATGTTCAAGCATGAGCCACACGTTTAAAGTGGTTCCCAGTGCATATTTCATGTAGAGAGGTTTTTTAATTAAATAAACCCATCATTATGGAGAGATTCACAAACTTGCCTGACACATATTTTCGAGTCCAGGAGTTCTTTCCTCCCCCAAGGAGAGCTCTAGCCCAGGCCCTCAAATCACATCAGGTTCCTCCCCACACTGGTTCCCTCTCCCGTAAGAGCCCCCTCGAAGGCCGTGTCCTCTGGTCTTGGGGCTACCAAACTCCACAGGGGAGGGGAGTCCCAGAGAGCCGTGCTGATGATGGGGGCACAGCGCACCCGTTCCTGCAGCTGTGAAGCCCACACCTCAGATGCCCAAGGGCAAAGCCTTGACCAGCATTGAGTACCCAGGCCCAGGGCAGCAGGTGCAGGCAGGGTGAAGGGAACTGCACTACAGCCATTGGCACTGCTCAACCCCAAAGGTCGCCGCATCCCACAGCCTGGGTCCTCCATGCCCCAAGGGACGCCCTGTCAATTAGACTCTGCCTCTGTGCACTAGATTCTTACAGGTTCCTGAAACTTGGTCCAAAATGCAACATACCAGAGGTGAGTGCACGCAAGTAAGGTCACAGCAGAGACCCCTCAGAGCGCTGGCTGCCTGGGTCGGATGTCTGGAGAAGACCACGGGTGTAGAGAACAAGCAGGAGGGGGAGAGGTTTGCCCAGCACAGCCCAGGAGCGGCCTGCTGACCCCCTCAGACAGGGGCAGGATGCCCTGAGTGTGGACTCAGCAGTAAATCCACGGCAGGTGAAGCTGATAATCCAGCCACCAGAAAGAGCTTTCGAGAGGCCACGAGAAGGCCCAAAGGGAGGCTAGCCCATGAGCATGGAGCCCATCCCATGTCACTGCTCGGGCCTGCAGAGGCGGCGACAGTGCCAGACACTGAACCTGTATGAGTCTGTATGAGGGAGGCAGCTCCAGTGCTGACTGATCAGCTCCACTGAGTCGGGCCGCACACAGGCTCGCCCAGAGTGCCCGGGCATCGCCAAGAGTGGCCCCACATACTGAGTCAGGAGTGGCCACCAGGGATGGCTCCTCCAAAGCATACAACAAACAGAGGCCAAAAGACAGTCCAAGCATTGGAGCGCTGCCATGACCCAGTTGGACTCCAGGATCATTCCTGAACACAGCACCCTAAGCAATGCGGGGTACAGCCCAAGAGCCAGAAATGGCCACCAACCACCTGCCGCCATCTGCAGAACCAGAGTTCATCACGTGGCCAAGCGAGAGCGTGGAGTGCTTCTCCCAGGGCCTGAGAGGGGCGCAAAGGGTGGAGCCCCCCCAGGGAGCCCGAGGAGAAAGGTGAGGGCACAAGGCTGGCTGGTGAGAATGACACCAGCTCCTTTCCACAGGGACAGTCCAGGGAAGGAGGCCTCTCCTCTGCCACGGTACCAGCCACTTTGTCCCGACACACCATGAATGAAAATCTCTGGATATTCAGATTACCCAAGAGTAAAAGGTAAAATAACCAAAACCTTGTTTCCGGTCCCTATAGTTGCTCCGACCTGGTTCCTGAATCCTGCAGCGGCCCCTCCATGCACAGATCCCTAAGCAGGCAGGATGAACACGTTCGCTCGGGACGGGCCTGCATCTACTCCGAGTGGGGGAGGAGACAGCAAGAGTCCCAGTACCCACCCATGTCCTTGAGGCTCTCTCCCGGGAGCAAGGGCGGCTCTTCCATCTCCGCTAACTTGTTAGACTCTCGCAGGACCTGGTTGGAAAGGGCGAGGGCAAGAGAAGCAGCACATTAGTCAAAGCAAGTGAACACCGCTCCCTGCCCACAGGACTCCTGGGCGGCTTGGCCCAGGCCCGAGGCCCCGTTGCTCACAGCTGACAAGACAGTGGCTCAACATCCCAGCGCCGGAATGGCCACGCCTTCCTGCTGTCACAAACACACCCGCGCCAGCGGAACTGGGACCAGAGACTCCGGAATGCTGCTAAGGAACCCGGAGGTGGGGCAGGGGAAGGTCAGCTCCATGGACCTCAGGGTCTCACTCTCCTGTGCCCACAGACCCGGGCGACGGGGCACCAAACCCTACTGGGCTCTTGACAGAAGTGTCCATGGCAGGACCACCTGGCACAGCACTCCCCCCCCTCTGTCTCATCCTAAAGGGGCACACCAGGGCAGGTCACTGTATGGAAGGCCAGTGTCCTGACCACGAACTCTCTCCCCACTGGGACTCTTAAACATTTTCCATCCAGGACCCCATTTTTGCTCGAGAACCTCTGACCCCAGCATATGATATAAACCTTTAAGAACGTTTCTGCGAAGAGACCATACACTGATGGGCAGGGGTGTGGCCACCCAGCAATGCCCACTCGTGACCCCCAGACCCATGCTGGTCACTTCACTCCTAAGGCCCCATGGGCTCCAGCTCTACTCCACTTCCCAGCTCTATCACATGATTTCCAAGCACTCGTGACTGTGTGGGTCTGACCCACTCTGTCTCTCAGGAAGGAAACCTGGACACCACACCTACAGTGACGCTGTAATAACACATTACACACGAAAAGCCAGATGGCAGAAAAACAGGAAAGAACATCACTGGAACCTACAGAACCCTCAATAATATCACCTTAAACAGAGAAACGAGTGCAGCATTCAGAAAAGCCTTCACAGCTCCTGACTGGCGCAGAGATGCTTCTCACACGCCTCCATCCTGATCCTCAAACACTTCATCCTACACCTCATATGCCTTCATCCTGTCCCTCACACGCCTCCATCCTGCCCCTCACACGCCTCCATCCTGCCCCTCACACGCCTCCTCCTACACCTCACATGCCTCATCCTATACCTCACATGCCTCATCCTACACCTCACACCTCCATCCTGCCCCTCACACACCTCAGCCTGCACCTCACATGCCTTATCCTGTCCCTCACACGCCTCCATCCTGATCCTCACATGCCTCAGACTATACCTCATATGCCTCCATCCTGCCCTCACAAGCCTGCTCCTGCCCCTAACATGCCTCATCCTCCACCTCACACACCTCATCCTATACCTCACAGGCTTCCTCCTACCCCTCACACACCTCATCCTGATTCTCACATGCCTCATCCTAGACCTCACAGGCCTCCTCCTGCCCCTCACAAGCCTCTTCCTGTCCCTCACAGGCCTCTTCCTGCCTCTCGTATGTCTCCACCCTGTGTTTCTATAGGACTGCCTGGAGCAGCACAGTGGGGAGTGAGGCAGGAGGATAGGCTACCGGGCCCAGCTCTCTAGAACCCCTGCTTTCCGCAGAGCAGAGCCCTTTCTCCTTAAAGCCTGTCAGGCCACTCGTCTGGCAGCCCGGGCTGGACAGGTGACTGATGCCAGAGCTGGAGACTGGGCACACCTCAAGGGCTTGGTGGTCTGGGCATTGCGGCCCTGGTCCAGGTTGAGCTGTGCCCTGGAAGGGCAGGTGCAAGCAGGGCTGAGGGGATGGGCAGGCCACAGGAGCGGGGTGGGGTGACGCTGGGACATTGAGGACACCTCCTCTACAGCCGCGAGAAGGGGGCACTCCTGCCTGCAGGCTTCTGGCACCCCAGAGAAATGGCCATTTCCAAACCCTCCTCTGGGTCTTCCCACTCTGGCCCTTTGGAACTTTCCCACCCGACTGTTGGCACCAACAGGCAGGCCCAGCTCAGGATTTCGCACCTAACAATGGCACAGCCGGGTGGAGACAGAAAGACCCAGCAGTCACTGAGAAGACCCTTCAGGTCAGCCATGGAACAATGGGAGAGGATGACGCCAAAATCCTTCAACAGGTCTCCCCATCCTTCATGTTCCCTAGGCTGTTCTGAAGGCAAAGAAACACATGGCAAAGATGCATTCTCAAACTCTGGCCGCAAGTGGCCTGACCGCTGAGTTAAAGGAGGCTCAGGGTATGCAGGTGGGAAATGGGGGTGAGCTGATTCCCCTGTTCATGGTCATGCGGTGAAGCCAGAAAGAAAAGGTACCAAGAGCCCTGGGCCTCATTGCTGTGCTGACTTCACAGCTGCAGAACTTCCCTGCCAAGAAAAACAAAGGCCAACTGGGAGCCACGCAGCAGTAGTAGGTGCTAGGCAGGGGCGGGTCTCTGGAAGAGGCTGACCACAGGCTCTGGGATCTGTGTACTGGACAGGGGCAGGTTCCCGGGAGAGGATGGGCCCGTGGAATGGAGACACCAGTGCTCCACCAGGACAGCAAGAGAAGCAGCCTGGATGAGCCCATGGACCTGCCTGGCTTTGTTCTCAAGAGTGAGCCGGCACCCAGGGTCAGCTGTGTGCAAGGCCAGCACTGTCCTCCCTGCACTCTCTCTCTGGCCCCAAGGAACTTTTTTTGTTCATAAACTAAGAGGTGAATTCTACAATTTCCCTGTGCAAATAAATCGGGTTTCCCAATGTGCTGGGTTGTTCTGAAATGATCCACCAAGACAGAGATCTTACCAGTATCTCCCACCTACCCAGCAAGACAGACGATGCTGGAGAAAGGCCAGAGTACTTACCCTCAGATCAGGAGAGAAGTTGTCTGCAGAGGTGGCGATGGAATCCGAAGAGGCCACAGAAGCGGACTGGGCATGCCCGGAGCCCTCGGAGTGCGACGTGGAAGCGCTGCGGCACAAGCACAGCGGGCATGAGGCTCCCGCCCTCAGGATGACCCTCAGTGCACCTGGGAGTGGCCCAAAGCAGAGCCCAGGGAGGGAGAGAAGAAGGGCCCCAGGAGGCAGGCGCCTCCGAGCCTAGGGTTGGGACAGCACTGTGAGGTGCTGGATCAATGGACAATGGCCCGAGAGAGGGGGAGTCACGGGGTGAGGTGGTAAGAGAGGAGCCGTCCAGTCACGCGCAGAGAGACCTGTGCAAAAGCCACGCAACACGGAGAAGCAAAGCCCACGCCCAGTGCCTCCCCACAGGAAGATGAGAAGGGGCACAGGCTGACCTGCAGCCGCCGTGCTCTGCTGAATCCTGGCAGCTTCGGGCCTGGCAGCACTGACCCATCTGACCTTACAAGGGGCGGCCTCTGGGCCCCCCAAAACTGCTGGGGCAGATTCCCCCACCAAGAGAAGATAAAACACAGCATAGAGAGATTCACAGGTCCAAGACCACTTTTTGAAATGGTCCTGAGTTTTGTGACACTTTTATAGACTTCAGTCACATTTCAAGGAGCTGTAGGAATTACGATTTCACAATTCAGCCATGAAATTATTGCCATCACACAGGCCGCTCCATCCCCCAATGCCCCCAACACAAGCGGCCCAAGGCACACTGCACTGACAACTGTTTATCCCCTGAGCCACCCTTTCCAGTGCCTACGCGCTCCTTCATGCCAGGCTAAGCCTGAGACCTCCCCCAGCCCTGGGTGGCAGTGCCATGCAAGGGTGACTGTCAGTAGCCCCACAAGGATGCTCACAGGGAAGACGGCGGGGTCTACAGTGCTGGAACCCTGCGGTCAGAGAACTCTGCTTCAGGACACAGTCTGGTATTCCAGTGTCACGGACAAGCTGGAGAGCAAGACTAAATGGCTGCGCTGGAAACCATCCTTTTATGATCTTGAGAGCCAGGAGGCCCCGACTCTAAATGCCCCCTCTATTCACTCACAAATGAAGGACAATGATCTATGTCCTGCTTAGACATGCTCTGCCTGGACACTCAAAGTCACTTCTGGGCAGAACCAAACTGTCCCCAGAGAAAATCCTCCCAGAGTTGCCAGCGCACAGAACTGTGCCCCGATGTTCCATCTGTGTGCATCTTATCCCATCAAAACCTATCATCAAAAAATTATGATTAAACTAAAAGTAAAGTCTCTTCTGTGACCCAGGCTCTTCAAGGAAGGTACAAAAAAGTCTGGAGCGGACCAGTTCAAATACAGATGTCAGAGAGATGCTCACCTTTGGTCCTTGGGTCACTCACAGATTAGTAAGCGCCATGCTGATGGAGAGGTGAGTGTGCTCTGGGACTGACAAGGATAAATTAAACATAATCTGACCCCAGACAGCAATGATGTCTTTACTCAAGTGTGTCAAGTGTGCTGGGTTTTAGAAGATTATAAATTAGAAAGTACACGGTTTAGAAAACAGAATTGTCACAATTATAATTTTTTCCCCTCAAAGTCCGCAAAACCAATCAAAATCTAAGCAGCACACTCTGGAAACCCCTGTTAACAGCAATCATTCTTTATACCTATTCACACACATATTCCTTTCCCCAAACTGCCTCCTAGAATGAAGTATTTTCCTCCTGGAATATATCGGAATGTGCTGGGCTGTGATCACCCTCAAAGAGGGCTGCTGCAGATTCCTGATTATGGGGAGCTGGACCCTTCGCTGACCTCCTTAACCCTTTGCTCAGGGTCCTGAAGGATGTCCCTCTAACACAGAAGTCTTAACTTTGTCCACTCACTACCCCTTCTGCCTGGGGAACTGTCACATGGCCCTGCATGTACAGGCAATGAAACAGGTTTACTGACCAAACATTTACTGAAAAATCTCAAAGAAATGTATTGAAACACACTGCGGTGGCCATATCTGGCAGTGCTCAGGGATCACTCCTGGTACTTGAGGGGACCATATGTGGCATCAGGAACTGAACCGGGGTCCATGCAAGGCAAGAGCCTTTTATTTGCTGTACTCTCGCTCCAGTCATAGGATGTGCCAGAAAGGAAACTCAGGAACAGTTTTGCCACCCTCGCTAGCTTGTGCTTTAGACTGATCAACTTCTACCCTTTCTCACAGGACAATGAGTAGAATTTCCTTTTTCCATGGGCCAGAGAGCAAGGGCTGGAGCTCATGCATGCAGGAGGACAGTTCATCTCCAGGCACAACACAGTTCCTTGAACCACTAGGGTTGACCTAAAGAGCAGAGTAAGGAGTCCCAGCACCACTGGTGTGGCCCAAAAAATTAAAAACTAATTTAAAAAAAGAAAAAATAATTTCCCTTCCCCACTGGGTTTTTCTAAGCAGCTAATGGGGGACTAGGAACAGAGAAGTGGCCAGATGAATTAATTCACATTTTAGGTAAAAATCCCAACTATTCCCAATCCAAGAGCGTGCTGAAAAGGCACAATGGGTAGGATGCTTGCACACAGCCTGGCTGGCACTGTGCAACCTACAGGACTAACCCTAGCAGACAGAAGTAAGGCGTAAGCACAGAACATAGCTGGATGGCTGCAAAACTAGAAATTCAAGAGTGCCCTCCTTTCAAAGAGAAAACAGGATAGAAAGGGACTTCTCTGAAGAATAAAATCATTAATGAAATTCAAATGAGGCAAAGCACCTTACCCAATAATTAGTACTTTTCAGGTAGATCTATATGGAAGTATGTTCTCTATTGCAAACAAACCACTTAAAACACAGATCAGGTGAAGTGTATGTGCACATATGTATGTCTACTATAGGAACATCAGAAGCCATGGAGTACACATATACCCGGAAACTACACACACTTAAGCAGAAAGCTAGCCAGTGAGCTTAGAAAAACCAACCAAACATACCACCTCCTTCCAGTGTTTCCAAAGCACTGACCCTCTTGGGCGTTGCTGAACTGGAATGAAATCACTGACACTAAAAGGAATTCGACAATAATGAACAGAAAAATGAAACCCAAGCACTAACAGATGTCATGTTTGTATGACAGGCAAAACATTCCTACAAGTGGAAAGTCTTTCTGAAAAGGGAAGGTGCAAGTAGATGCCGCCATACCAAACCTGCAGGCACCAGCCACCACCTCCGCACCCGAGGCACAGAGGCCTGAGCGAAGCTGCTTGTCCTGACACCCCGCCTTCCTGAGGGTCCTTCCGGGAGGCGCGAGACCACTTGCCTGAGTTAAACCGCTTCGCCCCTGCCAGCGGAACTGGTTTTCAGCCGTGCACAGAGAGAAAGGGTTCTCCCCCGAGCTCCCTCTGCCAAATGCCCTATGCGCACACAGAGCAGAAGACACGGGTTTCTCTGTCTGGGGACACTGCTGCTGCTCACAGGATGGCCACAATGGATGCCAGTGTCCCAGCACTGTCATGCCGAATCAGTCATTCCGCTGAACGTTTATTACAAAAACTAAGAAAAGGCCTGCAGTGTGTATAAACATTTGGGACACAAAAGACTTACTGTTCGAATATCTGCAAGATCCCCAAAAGAGAAAAACAAACCCCCAAATAAACTGACTCACAGCTTCTAATCATTTTCCAAGCTGGTGCCACTTTAAATGTCTGAACCCAGTTGAGAGCAGGTAAGCCAGGGGCTCCGCTGTCCCTCTGAGAGGAGCCTGGAGCTGGGGGATGGGCGGCCCAACCAGAGATGGGATGCACCAGAGATGGGATGCAGCTCCACCAGAAGCTTTTTTTTTTTTTTTTTTTTTTTGCTTTTTGGGTCAAACCCGGCCATGCTCAGGGGTTTCCTGGCTCATGCATTCAGGAATCACTCCTGGCGGTGCTTGGGCGACCATATGGGATGCTGGGAATCGAACCTAGGTTGGCTAGATGCAAGGCAAACGCCCTACCTGCTGTGCTATCACTCCAGCCCCCAGAAGCATTTTATTTTTGATATATTTCCCAGCATCCATCCAGGGAAGACTACCTGGCATCATCATCATCATCATCATCATCATCATCATCATCATCATCATCATCATCATCATCATCTGAAGCCCAGGCTGCGGAGAAAAGGTTAACAGGGAACCTGCGGGTGAATAATTCTACAGCACGCGAGGGTCCTGTGGGCAGGTGGGAAAGGAAGCACAACCCTGAGCCCCACCCCCTCGCAGTACCCAACAAGTTTCTCAGAACAAAACTTCCTCTTCCAATTTGGACTAATGGTGAGCCTCTAGGGACTCCCTCCTGGGTGCCTGGGGGGAAGTGACCTCACCTCAGTGCAGCTGAACTGAACAGCGGCTACTGCTGACCCTGCAGAAGTACAGATGTGGGGACAGCAGGGGTGTCACTCACTATGGCACCCCACATAACGCAAAGACCAGCCTGACAGGCGCCCCGCACTCTGCACTCTCTATTAACAGGACACCACCCTGGGCAGAGGGAGGAAGCAGGGGGCACTAGGGCAGAGGGAGTGAGTAGGGAGCACTGCAGGGCAGAGGGAGAGTGAAGGGGACACTGGAGGGCAGAGGGAGGGTGCAGGGGACACTGCAGGGCAGAGGGAGGGAACAGGGGACATTGCAGGGCAGGTACCCAGGGCAGAGAGAGAGGGCAAGGGTAAGGTACCTGCTAGTCCACGGTAGTGGTTTGTATCCTAACACCAGAGGGAGCTGGGCAATGCCAGGTGTGCCACTTCCACAAATCACCAACAAATGACCACAGAGCCAATTGAGGGACTCTAGACACATACTTAGGTTTTTCCAAGAAAGAGCAAAATGGTTTCATGGATCTGCAGCCTTTGGGCATGATGAGACACAGCCTCTGTACAACCTTGAAGCCAGAGAAGTGAGGCTACGGGGGCATCTGAATCTCCAGAACTCAGTGGACAAGACGTCCACTTGTCCATGGCAGGAAAGGGCATGCAATTTTTCTACCCTGCAAAGGGGAAAATTCAGATCTGAGGTAGGGCACCAGGCCACACCTTCAGAGGCTGTAACTGTTCTGCAGGTAACTGATGAGGGGGTTGGTAAACCCCATGCCAGAAAACTAAGACTCCTTTTGTGTCTTTTTCTTCTGTTCTTATGAGGAGGCAGAAAATGTCTCTTTTTCACGTGAACTTTTTAAGTTGACAGACACCTACGACCAGTGCCCCTTTTGCACATCACACTCTCTCAGACACGACTCCATGGTATGAGTGGTATGGTATGAGTGGTATGGGCTGCAGTCTGGGGCCCTGAATTCTGCTTCTACTGCTGTGTGGCCTTGGCTGACCCTAATACTGCAGAGCTGCGCGTTCCTCAGCTACAAAGTTGGGGAGACTTTCTTTAATTTAGCCTTGGCTCTTTCTAATTCTCTCCCGTTATTTTAACTGCTGCAGAATTTCAGAGGGACAGCCTAGCCCACTTGTTGAGGTAACCAAGGAATGCCTTTACCCTCTCCTCCCCCGCACACACCCGCCCTCTGGTGAACCACCATCGCTTCCAAGGAGTCAACAAGTTAGAGTTTTGCTGTTTTTCTGCTTCAATTCCTCCAGCTATTTATATTGCATGAGCAAAACCATCCTATAATTATCTTTTACTTCCTGGCTTAAAAATGGCAATTCTCATGCCTCAAAAACTCGTTTCCCGGGGCTGGAGCAATAGCACAGCGGGTAAGGCGTTTGCCTTGCATGCGGCTGACCCGGGTTCAATTCCCAGCATCCCATATAGTCCCCTGAGCACCGCCAGGGGTAATTCCTGAGTGCAGAGCCAGGAGTAACCTCTGTGCATTGCCGGGTGTGACCTAAAAAGCAAAAAATAAATAAAAATAAAAACACAAAGCACAGAGTTCCGTGGGCCCCTGGGTACTGCTGGCTGTGTAGCCTTGGTGGCCCTCAGCACAGCATCCTGGAGGACTGAGTTCCCAGGACTCAGTACCCAGCGGGACTCAGTTGCTAGGGAGGCCCATACACAAAGTATAATATAATAAATATTATTAAAAAAACTCATTTCCCGAGAATAGGAGCCAATATATAAACCAGGATAACGCCTGCTGCATGCATGCACAGCAAGGGTTATCTGCTGTCTCTCAAGGGTCCCATCAACTGTTATATTCAGGTCCCAACCATCGTGCAGTGAGGACGTCAGGCACCATTTCATCCCTGCTCTGGATCAGGGATTCTGGCCAGAAAGATCAGATGGCTCATCCAGAATCCATAAGTATAATGAGAGGGCCAGAGATTGGAGGCTAAGAGTGCCTGCTGGCCAGCTGTGGCCCTGAGTTCCATCTCTGGAACCCCTGTAAGCACAGCTCTGCTCTCTTCAAGCCCTGGCACCACAGGCTTCTTCTGGCTATCTGGCAGTGAACTGTGTCCAGGCGCCACAACCAAAAGGTATGGCTTCCAGCAAGCAGGACGAGGCAATGCCCAGAGAGCACCCCTGCTAAGTGTGTGAGCAGACGGCAGGACCCTGGTGCAAGGGAGTGCCCAGAGGTCACTGTGTGATCATGGCAGTTTGCTCTGAGCTCACATACTCGAATATGTCACTACAGAAGGTGGTGTTCCAATGCACAGAGCACACACAGGCCACACTGTGCAGGGGTGAGGAGAAACAAGCAGAAACACAGGCACCACACAGTGAGGAGAGGGATTTAAGATCTCCGTGGCTGGTCAGAGCTACCCCCCTCTCAGCAGCAGCTCTGGGACCCTACAGAGCAGTGGCAATGGATGGCCTTTCGTCTACCCATTCATTCGTCATTCCTGTCCACACAACAACTGACAGAGCGCGTGTGTGATCACACGAGGTGGCCGGATCCACAAACACCAGCACACACGTGAGGGAGACTCGGATGAAGCAAGCCCAGAGTCTGCGCCCGCACACCCGGGAATGGAGCACCGAGAAGGTAGAGGACAAAGGGAGAGAGGAGCCGGGCCAAGGCACAGGATGGACGGCAGCCACGCACGTGGGCTCAGAAAGCCACTCACTGTGTCCATGGACTATTCCCCCACTCACTTACATTAAAATTTTTGAGATGTTTTATCTTTTATCTTCACTTCTGATGATCTTCAAATGTCAGTGGCTCTTACCACATTAACTGCAAACAAACACAAAGGTACTTAGGGCGGGCCGACACTCCCAGGCACGCGTGAAGGGTTTCAGATCACTCGCACAGCACAGGGGAGGGAAGCCTTGCTTCACGCGTTATCTGATGGCCAAAAATGTGGAGCCCGTCCTGAACGAAAATGGAGCTTTCCTCCTCAACGGATAAAGAAAAACTCATTTTAAGTTGGAGGAAATTCTCCCCAGTGCAAAACCTCTGTGTCTCCTCGTCCCACCCAGCGTGCCTATGCCAAGCTGCCCAGAGCCCCAGGCAGAGCCCAGAGCACTCAGGCTGGACAGGCCTGCAAGGCCAGAATCCAGGGCTCTGAAGTGAATTTTCTCAGGAGTGATGGCGGGACACAAGGGCTCCCAACAGAGGCACCACCACAGAAAAGCACCTGCTGTGTGGAATGGTGCTGACCAAGGCCTGGTGTCTGTTTCTGGCCAGCGGCCCAGCAGCCTGAGCCTGTGCTGACCTCGGAGGCCAGAACAAAGAGCAGCCCCTAGTCTAAGCTGACTCAATGTCAGAGCAAGACTGGCAGAGTGCAGCCACAGAAGCAGAAAGTCATGCAGCCTGCCCAGCCGCAGCAACGGTGGGAAACGGCGGGAATCAGACCACCTACCCGGAGCCACAAGAAGCCTTACACTTACAAACTGCCACCTGCAGTTCTAAATCTGAAGTCTTGCTGAAGAGCAGTGACAGGGGCCAGAGCAATAGTACAGCAGCAGGTTTGCCCTGCACGTGCCCACCTGGGTTCAACCCCTGGCACCCCAAACGATCACCCCAACACAACAGTCGATGTGATCCCTGCACGCAGAACCAAGGGAAAGCCCCCAACGCAAGGGGATCTGGCCCTCCAACCAAACCAAAACAACAGGAGTAGTTACAAAGTAGCTACAGAAGTACTTACAAAGAAAGCTTACAAAAGGGCCGGAAGAAACTGAACCTATCCAGCGACCCTACTCCCGGGAGTTATGCTCAGCAGAAACTTGCCATTCTAACACCTTAGGGGCCAACTATCCCGCACCGCATGGTATTCCTCACCGCTGCGCGGGGACACCAGAGAGGCACCCCAAGGCCCTCTCCTAATAGGATGCTACGGCCGAACGGACAGGCCACAGGAAACCAGAACAAACTCCATTCAAGCGCCTGTGAGCACCGGGAGTTCCCAGGGAAGCTCCAGCTCCAACTCTCCAGGCCCTAATCAGGTAGAATTAAGTGAGGGCGCAACAACCACTGGGCGTGAGCGCCCGAGAAAGGGGCCACCGGGAGAGCGGACTCGACGGAGTGACCGTTGGGGGAACGTGCCCTCTACCTTCGGGGAGGGAAGCAGGCTCGGGCCTGCCCCGGGCGGCTGCAGGGACACCCTCCCCGGAACGCCCTCCCCCTACCCCGAATCCTCCCCAGAACCCTCCCCGGAAACCTCCCGGAACCCCCATCCCTGGGTCCAGCGGCCTGGGAAGAAGCCGAACCGCAGGGCCTTAGGGTGTCGGTGGGGCGCACGGGGCCGCAACAGACGCTGCTTGTCCGTAATCTCCAGAAGACTGTCAGATCGCTCGGGAGGTCCCTCAGACACCTCCACTTCCATTTGTGACACCCGCCGGGAGGTCGCGCCCACGGGCCCCGGGCCTGCGGCCAGCTCGCCCCCCACGGCTCCAACCGGCAGGACGCGGTCACCGCCCTGCCCACACCGCCGGCGACCCCGAGGGTCCCGCGAGGCTACCAGAACCGGGCTGCGGGGCACGCCCAGAACCCCACCCGAACACACCCGAACCCGACCCGAATCCGGCCACCTACGGCCCAAAAGACGAGAGCACCAGGGGACAGTCGCCACGGCCAGCCCCGGGGCCGCGGGGCCGAGGGGGCAGCCGTGGGTCGCGGGGTCGAGTGGCAGCCGGGGTACAGCTGGGGCACCCGGGGGTCGCGGGGGCGGCCGGAGGTAGCGGGAGCAAGGGGCCTCGCGGGTAGCGGGGACGGCCGGGAATAGCGGGGCCAGGGGTCAGCCGGGGGTCGCGGGGGCAGACGGGGGTCGCAGGGGCGAGGCCCTAGGGGCTCGCCGCGCCCCCGCCCGGTCCGGTCGCAGCGACGTGGCGCCCCCCGTCCCGGCGCAGACCTGGACAGGGAATCGGCGCTGGGCGGCCGCGCGGCGGCCAGCGGGGGGCCGAGGCTCTCGCAGCTCGAGCTCTTGTCCATGGCCGCGTCAGAGGGCCCGGCGGGCAGGCGCGGGCGGCGGCCTCAGGCCCGGGGCGGCCCGGCCCGCGCGCCGGAAGCGGCCATGTCCTCCCGGCATGCCCCGCGCGCGCCCGGCGCTGGCCCGAGGACACGCCCCCCACCCCCAGGACCCGCCCCCGAGCGGCGAGGACCCGCCCCCGAGCGGCGAGGACACGCCCCCGAGCTCGAGAGGACACGCCCCCGCGCCAGGAACACACCCCCAGAGGCGAGAACACGCCCCCGCGCCTGAGGACACGCACTCCGTGCCCGAGGACACGCCCTCCCGCTCGAGAGGACACGCCCCTCGCGCGCGCCCCCGACGCCGGCCCGAGACACGCCCCCGCGCGGCGAGAACACGCTGGCCCCGCGCGCACCCGTGCCCTCGCGCCCGCGCCCGGGGCTGTGGCGGGGAGGGAGGCGTGCGGCGGCCGAGGCGGTTCCTGGGCGGCTTCCGTCGCTCACTGAGTGCCCGGGTGTGTGGGAGGGGTGAGGGATTGGGGGAGGAGGGGGGACAAGTGACCAGAACCGGGAGGCGGGGGAGGGGAGAAGGACAGGGAAGGTCCGCGGGGGCAGGAAGGGAAGCGCCGGTCGGGACTGGGCGGGGGAGCCTCGGTCACCCTCTGACAGGAAGGACAGAGGACTCGGCGCAGGGACTTTGCTGCTGGCTGAGGAGTCCGGGCACTTCGGGCACGGGGCCTAAAAAGTATGGAAAGGCTATTTTGTGAAAAAAAAAAATTGAGGCAATTACTTTTATTTGTTTTTGGCATTCTGTGTCACACCCGCGGTGCCCAGGCGTTTCTCCTGGGTCTGCTCTCAGGAATCTCTCCTGGCGGTGCGCGGGGACTCTATGAGACACCGGGGATTGAACCCGGGTCTGTCTGTGCAAAGCAAGCGCCCTCCCCGTTCCACTATCACTCCAGCCTGGACAATTGATTTTTTTAAGAATGCTTTGATAGGATAAAATATGAACTCAAGCCACATTGAATCTGCTCTGAGAATTTATGATTTTAGGAAAATCTTCTAGAGCCAGGAATTGAGTGATTTCCTGAATGTGATAATGGGACTGCCTGGGGGAGCTGAGAGACTTAGGCTTCACAGGAGGCATGGGAGTGTCAACACTAGTAGGAGAGATCCCATGCAAGTCATTTATCTTTTAATTTATTTAATTCATATTAGTAAATTATATTTGGAGACGTTACTGGGCCCGCTAGAGCAAACAGATTAACAACGGGAGGGCAGTGCTACAGTGCAGTGCTATTTAATTTATGTTTAATAAATTATATTTAATAAATTATAAGGGTAGCCAGCATGCACGAAGAACACACATCATGGGAGAGTCAACTGGCCCTATGGGCAAAGGACTTGACCAGACATTTCTCCAAAGATGCTGGACTGATGGCTCCAGAGCAGTAAAAAGATCAAAGTCGCCGATGGACATAAAGTTGCAAATGAAAAGACTAAGAACTTCTCATATCCATTAGCATGGCTGCATCAACAACTCCTGGGCAGAAGATGGAGGATCCACAGGGAAACCCTGGATGCTACTGGAGGGGGGGGTGGAGGAGGAAATTAGGTGGTGGGAAATTGTGTGAGGTTACCTTTCAACAATGAGAAATAGAACAACCATATGATCTAGGAATTCCACCTGAGAGATACCTGTGAAAGAAGTTGAAGTGCGACCTCACAGGTCCCTACCACCTGTGCTCATGGCGCTTCACAGTAGCTGAGAGAGGCCAGTGACCGTGGGTCTGACCCAGAATGTGCTACGTACATGCAATAGACACGTGTCCATGTGCACACACCTCTAAGAGAAGGCTGATGGGCCTCAGGCTGGTGCCAGGCACAGAGCAAGTACTGCATTGTTTCTCTAACGCCAAAGTCACCAAATTCCTAGGAAGAGGAACTGAACCTAGCAGTGTGATACTGGACACGCTCTATGAGCGGTATCTCTCTGTCAGATCCACAAGAGGTAGAGCCAGACCTGGGCATTGTTGGACTCTAGGAGGTCCGCGAAGACCTCCAACACAAAATCTTTTCTCAAGGACCTGTCAAACAACGTCAGCAGACTGAATGTTCCGAAATACAGGAAACAATAACAACAAATCTACTCATCTCATATGTTCAAGAATATGATCTCTGATTGTGATTTAACCTAGCAGCTGTCGCTCTGACATTGAGTAGGTCACACTGTCTCCAATTGGTCAGCCACACCATTGAGGACTGACTGCTGCTTTGCTCCTTTGGGTCATTGAACTTGTTTTCACATGTGTGGCTTTTTCGGCAGCTTGATGGATTGCTCTGGGTGCAGGGGAGCAGATAGCAGGTTTCCAGCATCTTGGGAAAGAAGGATTCATTTACATCTGATGGATTATTGAGCCTGCTGGGAGGCCTATGTGCCCTGCCAGGCTCAAGGACCTGCTCTCAGGGCCTGACGTGGGGTGTGTGATGCCATGCTGATGTGTATGAACCTTGTTTTACACTCAAGGCTGTCCCCACAATTCCTGCCCCAACCCCCACTACTCACAGCAGGTGTGCAGCCACCATTCCTTGACCTCATGAGGAGCGTGTGTTTTGAGCACTCACCAACACCCATTTGTACTCACTTAGAAACAGTCAGAACTGCAAGTAAAATTGAATGGAAATGACCTGAAGTTCTCTCCTTCTTGTCATAGTCATATCTTTGCTAACAACTTTTTAAACCTAACATCAATGCTGTCCTGTCTTTGCTCATTGCCGCGTCCGGCGCTGCGGGGCCGAGCCAGGGGAGGGCCGTCAGGGAGAAAGCAGCACTCGAGACACACAGGGTTCCGTCATTCAGGAGATGACATGAATACGTGCGTTTATTCAGAGCATAGGTACAGACTTAAGTATGTTTCCACAGCCCACCCAAAAGAAAGGAAAGTGGATGGGACGTGGGAAAGTGGATGGGACAATGAGCAGAGCCATGCACTGTTGGTCAGTCACAGTGGGCAGAGCCATGCACCATTGGTCAGCCACCTGGTGACCCTTTCGACCTAATGCTACCGGTCGGAGCGGCCTGCTTTGTCACAGTTTTGACATATCCATAGAGACTGTGTTGTTCCTCATACTTCACTTAATCACTTAATCACTTAACTTCCCGTTAGTCGTCGATTTGCTCGAGCGGGCGCCAGTAACGTCTCCATTTGTCCCTGTCGCGTGCTAGTGTAGCCCAATGGCATCTGTTCGCTCCGGGAACATGAAGGGCCTCAAACCGATCGTTCATGATCTTGACGAAGAAGTCTGACCATCTGGAAGGTGGGCGGCCACGCGGTCTTTTGACATCCTGTGGAATCCAGTCGGTAACAGCTCTAGTCCAGCGGTCGTCTTTAAATCTCATTACGTGACCAGACCATCTGATTTTCGACACCTTGGCAAATGAGACAGCGTCCCTGATTCTTGATCGTCGACGGATGTCAGAACTCCGGATTCTTTCTCTCATTTGAGTGAAACGTGATATTCCAAGCATAGCTCTTTCTATGTTTCTTTGGGAGACCTGAATAGCGTTCTCATCTTGTTTCCTCATATATCATTTACAAATCATTTACGAGGGTGCATTTTCCCCGAACTGAAACCTCACGTACTGGGAAGTTGCCCAGCTTTGAGCAGGACAAAGGGGGAATGAAAAATCAAGCATTCTTTTACTTGGTCAGTAGGCAACACTCATGATCTCTCCTTGAATCGCTGCACAAATGTTCACCTTTCACCTGCTCCTCATTTTTGCCTAAACCATTTCTCACCTTCCACTTGTCATATTCCTTGATTTACTTTTTTTCCATTTGATTTTGACACCTCAAGCTAGGAATGCTTGCTGGTCTCGCCACATCCCAGACACCCAGCACAGTGCGTGGGGATAAAGTGAGCACTGAGTAAACAAATTGAGGAATGAATTCTCACAGGTGTCTCCAAGAAAATTCTTGATCTGGTTGGGCAGTGTTCCTGTGAACACCATCTGATCACAAGGAAAAATGGTACTTACCATAGCAACATAGCACCGACAGCTTTTAGGAGGCTGCCCCTATTGGTTAGACCCCAAACGGACATTCATTTCTCTGCAGTGCTTCCACTTTATTCATTACTTACCATACCCTTATATGTGTCATCTGTGAAACACAACAGGTGAAAATCTCACAGTTGAGGCCTGAGCTATTATAGTACAATGGGTAGAGCATTTGCCTTTCACGTGGCCAACCCAGGTTCGATCCCCAGCATCCCATATGGTTCCCCAAGCCTTCTGGGAGTGAATCCTGAGCATAAAGCCAGGAGTAAACCCTGAGCATTGCTGGGTGTGGCCCCAAACCTGAAAACCTCATACTTTCTGTTCTCCACATAGACCCCAGCATCTCTGTGTCTGAAACCTAAAGCTTGGCTTCATCATCCCAACGCCTTCTTGTGAAACATCATTCATACAGGCTGAAGGAATCCATGCAAGTTGAATACTAATAAAAAAGAAACTGAGAAGCGATGTAATCGGGGTAAAGACGAAGAAGAGTTCCCTTGGTGCAGGGCCCCTACCCACCTCAGGCTCACCACTTCCAGCACAGGGAATTCATACACATGTGTGAGGCAGCACAGAGAGGAACAGAGGGCAAAACAACAGGCCACATGGACTGTGAGGACGCTCTGGTGAGAGAAGAAAAAGGCTGGGACCACAATTCTAGGTTCGATAAATTCATCTCTTACTGAGACCAGGTTCTTTAGGAATTCTCAAACAGGTCTAAACAGATAGAATCAACTTTCACGATCACGATCATGACCATTCTGTTGTTCGTCGATTGCCTCGAGCAGGCCCCAGTAACGTCTCTTTCATCCTAGCCCTGAGATTTTTTAAAAAGTGCCATATTCAAGGCTCTTTCAGGGTTAGGAGAATGAGACCCATCATTGTTACTGGTATTTGGCATATTGGGTATGCCACGGAGAGTTTGCCAGACTCTGCCGTGTGAGCAGGTTACATTCAGTAGCCTGCCAGTTTGTCTATAGTAAAAATGAGATAATAAGATGTCTAGCTTCCGGGAGCTGGG